TCATCCTTAAAAAGCTTATCTGCACAGGGAAACTAATGACACTGATGTTGTTTCCAAACTAAGCCAGAAATTGTAGTTCCTCGTCACAAAATTTCGTTTTTTTTTTCCTCCAGCTTATTTGTTCAGAAATGTCTTAATAACCCTGGAAACATTTAAGCAATGATCATCTACGTGGCACATCGCTCGACAAAATAATTCCTAAGAAAATTCGCCGCGACGGCTTGAGACTTTCAAGTAGAAACTGCAGCAAAAATCCTACCTCGGTTTTAATCCCTCCCTCTCCTTTTTTTCTTTCGTGAGTAAGGGCATTATCCTGCGAAGTGTTTAGACATGAGTCTCGGAGCAGAGTTAGTTGATTAGGAGCTATTCGCGAAGCGCATAAAATTGTTTGTGCGGAAAAAACATCCATCGTTCTGCGAAGTGTTATCGTCTGGCTCATTACATTCAACACTTGATAAAAGAGTAATTGCTGTTGCGGGTGAATGGTCGGGCCACGAACAGAGAGCAAAGGAGTTATTTTGGGAACCGCAAGCCAAATGGACTGCACTGCATTTTGCAATTTGGAACTATAAATTCTAAATCTAATGGAAAAACACTTATGTGCATAGGGAAACTAATGGCCCATACGTTGTTTTTAAACCGGGCGAGAATTCATAGTTCCAAATTGCAAAATGTGGTCCAAATTGTCGGTCCTCTTTACCCCGGAGTGTGAGGTTATATCTCTGTATAAAGTCCCTGAGAATAGAAAAAGTAGGTTATTTTCTGTAAAAGTTAAAAAGGAAGAGAATATCATCATGACTGTCCCCAAAAAATATACCTAACTCACCAGCGGGCCGATTATTGAAATGTATAGACATACCGATCGACAAAGAAGACATAGGGAGTAAGGAGCGATCCTATTGGTTGAAATGAGGGGTTCTTATAGACTAAAGGATAAAATGATAGACACTCTATAGGGGATGCCGTTAGTTGGTCTATTACCTACCTCCTATGGCCATTGCAATCACCCGCCTCTACCAATGGGGTCCCTTTATATTCATTCAGTCTTCTTTGTCTATAGCTTTGTCTATTAATTTCTATAATCGGCCCGTTGGCTTCCTTTAAACTGAGAGAAAGGAACGGAATTAATCCATTCAAAATAAGGGAAAATGCGTTTTTAAAATTGGCAACTTTGAGAAATGGGAGCCTAAGAACTTTTTGCATCTCTGAAAAATGCCTCCCTATTAGTTCCTGCGTAGTCTTTTAACTGAATCAAAGTGTATGGAGTGATATAAAAGTACGTTTTTTGAATACAACTATTCGAGCTCTCAGGAATATTTCTTGCCTATCCGGCGAAATCGAAGGAGAAGCGCAAATGGTCAATCTGGTCATCAGCAATTTCCTTTAAATCAATGAAATTAAGCTTAATGGAGACTTTGCTCGAGTGAATTTGATCAATACAAGGGAAAGTGTCTCTAATGAGCTGAGCTCACAATATTTTTTCAGGGATGCAGAATGTTCTTCGATCCCCCAATTCTTAAATTTGCCTCCCAATTTTCGTAATCTCTTTTCCTTAGATTCTCAAATGACGATTTTTTTTCTCTCTCAATTTTTCTTGCTCTGATTTGCCGCGAATTTGCAATAAACACGCAATCGACATTATGATGCGAGCCGTATACCTCTCATGTTTTAAAAAAGGTTTTTTTTTATTTATTTTTTTTTCATTTACTAAATAAGATTTTGGGGCCTTCCCACTCATGTACGCGCTCGAGGAAAACCGCGATCCACCACCCACCGTCGCGTGGTCAAGAAGTTGTTACAGCGATTCCTGTCCAAATTATGTGTGTAACACTTTAACATGATAGCAATCAGACTACATTTTCCCATAAGGAAATACCATTTTGTAACTATTAGTTACTACGTAAACAGTAGCTTCTCATTGCAAAACGCAGTCAATCTCACATCCCATTCGTATTCTTAAACATTGTTCGAAACAACTTACAGGTGCCAAATGCGCCCACGAAATCGGGCATGGCGTCTAAAAATTGAATGCCCTGCGCCAACGTGGCCCCTAAAAATTAACCCCCCCCCCCCAAAAAAAAAAAAAAAAAAAAAAAAATCCTAATTTTTCTGTTTGGTGACTTTTCGAAATTTCCCCCAAGTTACAGCAACTAGTTATGTATCTAAATCGTCTTGCGAGTAACTTTTCACTAAGTGCGCTGCGATATATAGGCAAAAAGTGAATTTGGCCCTTAAAAAATCTTCAATGGCCCCTAAAATTCGAGCTTGATGCGCCACATGGCCCCTGAAACTCGAAGGTGAGTTTCGAACACTGCTCTTAAAAGCTCGCGGTTAAAAAATAAAAGTTTTTCCATCGGTTTGGCACCAGCGCCCACCGGCAACATCCGCGAGACGCTCGTGTATGTAGTTCCTGCAGATTATTTTTAGCGGCGATCCGTTTGAATTGGACGTATTTTTGCCAAACGGAACTATGTGCACTGCGACGTGAGTCCTGTTATGCATATATTCTTATGGGTTTCAGGGCTCATGTCTTAATGCACTTAGTTCCGTTTGGCAGAAATACATAGAATTAAGTCTGTTGACTCCGCGTTGAGCTCTGGCGATTTCGGTCGCCGAATTTTCGCAAGTCTGCACGCGACGCAACTGTGCGCCCGACCTTTGATCGTCTGCAGGTCGCGGACTGGGTGTTGCTGTTGCTGCTCCCTGCCTTCTAGATTGTTTTAGAAGTACTGCAGTGACTCGGTTTTTTTCCTGCGAATTCCAGCATCAGCATTCCACCTGTGAATTTTACTAACAATAAGTGAATTGATGTTGTGGCTGATTTCGCACGGATACTGTAAATGTCAGCCGGGGTGCAAACTGGACTACATTTTGCAATTAGGAACTATAAATTCCGGTTCGGTTTTTAAAACAACGTATGTGCCATTAGTTTCCCTATGCACATGCGTGTTTTTTCAGATGGGACAGAATTTATAGCTTCAAATTGCAAAATGCAGTTCAACTGTTCCAGGCCTCCGTTTGTATCAAGATGCCTCCGCAATTTTCGTTAAAACTCTTTGTTGTTTTTTTGACTAAATTCGACTGGATTTTTCTTCAAATTGTGAAACCAATACTGTTCGCAGTTTTATCTAAAATATCTGGCAATTTCAAGGGGAAATATGCGTTATTCTCGCAGTTTTATCTAAAATATCTGGCAATTTCAAGGAGAAATATGCATTACTTTCCTCAAACATACATATTTTATCCGGGAAAACTTGGCTACAACCGAATGTCCATACGGCGTTCTTCCTTAGCATGGCCGTATTCTGACTCAATTTAGGAATAACGTATATGTCTCAGGCAAATAGTGAAATCAGGCATTTTGTCAAATGCCTAGGCAGGTAGTCAAATTTTGACGGTCTACAAAATTTTGTGAATTTATGGCCAAGAGCTCGCGATGTTTCACTACATTTTTGGAAAAATAACTCATAAAACCTACGTACTCTTTTTGTCCCTTCCTCTTCAATTGCTTCTCATATTTTTAAAATTTTGAAATTCCAAAAATTTGGTATTTTACGACATGTTAAAAATTTCAAGATCAGTGTCTCTTAAGGAGCTAAAAATTGTTTAAAATACTATTGTATGTGCAAATTTTTACTGAGAATTTTTTCTTGCAGGAGCAATGAATTATTTTGTCTGAAGTTAGGAAAAGAATCAGAATTTCAATCTAAGTTAGAATATTTGACAATTTGCCTAGGCATTTGACAAAATGCCTGATTTTACTATTTGCCTGCGACTTAATATGTCCCGTTAACTTTCCTACGCACATGCGCGTTTTTAGAAAAGCCAAAAATTCTAGTTCCTGCACGGAGAAAAAAACCTCGTGCGTGGGACCCGAAGTTTAGGATGGATCTCTGAAGTTTTCAGATTGAGCATTTGAACACTTAAAGTCCAGCTGCTGAGGTTTGGACCACACATCTGAAACTTCAGTCCTTACATCTGAAGTACTTCGGTTTTCACATCCGAAAAACTTCGGTTCTCACATCTAAGGTTCATACATCTGAACTAAAGTTTCAGATGTATGATCCGAACCTCGATAGCTAGACCTAAAGTGTTCAGATGCTCAATCTGAAAACTTCAGAGATCCACACGACCTAAACTTCGGGTCCCACGCACGATGTTTTTTTTTCCGTGTGATGCACTCATCGTGATTTTTGAGCCAGTAAATTTCTGTGTGAAATAACTCCTATTCGCTCTAGCTGAAGTTTACAACAAACCCACTATACGAGTACTAAAACCGGCATCCTAGCCGGCAAGTTTTCCACGTCTTTTCACCGAAACTCTCTCTGGAAGCTGTTAGTTGTCGTACCTGTTTTCTGGTCTTTGTCTCCCCGACCGAGCATACAAAGTTACCATCCGCGGGTTAGTTTTCCGTCAGCGCGAGTCGGTTCACCTTGAGGGCCGCCGTTTCGATTTCGACGACTTCCTGCAGTTCTCCCGGGGAAGGTTAACGCAGTTTTCATGGAAATTAGACCGATCTGATTTTCTTTATAAACCCCGGAGCACTTCCCGGCCGGATTCCAGTGGAAGCTACAGTTTTCCAAGAAAAATACCCCAAGACGGTTTTCTCCGCGCTCGAGTAGTTTCCCGAAGGAATTTTCTCGTCGATCGATAGTACCGTCAAATTTCGCGTTTTTGAAAATAAATTTGTGATATTTTCTTCGGAAATCGTTTTTCGCCGTTGAACAGTTTCTTCGAGTTTTTGAATTTTGCCAAAAATTCGTGTGACATTCTCTCCGGAAATCGTTTTTTGCCGTCGAAGAGTTTTCGTTGAGTTTCTCCAAGTGGTTTTTTTTCGCCAAAAATTTGTGTTCGAAGCATAGTTTGGTGACTGATTAACTCGCGGTTTCCTGAAATTTTGCTAGTTCTCTTCATCTTTGAGTTTTTCTCATTTTTGGGAGGAAATTTTTGTGTAAGAATCTATCCCGACTTCTCACAGTTTTCGCCTTCAAAAGTATTTTCGGGCCAAAAGTTTGTGTTCTACCCAAAGTTCGGCTACTCCCCATTTATTGAAGTTTTTTGACTTCCACGAAGTTTTTTAAAAAATTATCTTTGTTGTTTGAAATTATTTCCGGACTGCCCGATCGGATTCTCCGAATATAGAGTCTCTTTGGTCTGAAAGTGTTTTTATTGTTCTGCCAAAATTTTTATTTCAACTTCAGCCCAGAAATTTCAGTTTCTGAAATTTGCAGCTTGCGCGTTGTGAATATATTACTCTCGGAATAAGTTTTTTGCGCTCAGTTCGTGTTTTAAGCACGGCGTTTTTTCTGCTGTTTCTACAGTCTGAAAACTTCATCAGTTTGTGAAATTTTTTCGTGATTTTCTACCTATACAATTCAATTATCTCGAGTGTTTTCTACTCTAGTCTTCCCGTTCTGCGAGTTTGTCCAAGTTTTTCGTGTAGATTTGGAAGTTTCGTCTTCCAATGTGCTTAGTCACGCTTGACTCGATTTTTAGCGTGATCGTGTAAGCGTCGTCTTACTATTTTCTACATTGATCTCAGCTTCAAAATGTGCCGTCTTTGTCAAGAGCAGAAACGGGTGCCAGCTCTAACCAGAGCTCTCTCACTCCGATACCTACCCCATCAGTTGAATAAAGAAAAAAAATCTGTATACAATCTAGTGGTGAGCATCGAAAATCATTCTCAATTTTGAGCTAACGTTGGACTGCTTTTGCACTTAGGAACTACAATTTCTCTTTCAGTTTAGGAACAACGTAACTACAATTAGTTACCCTTCGGGCATAAGTGTTTTCATCGACAAGTCAGAATTTGGTAGTTCCCAATGGGATCGCATTTAGCAAAAAGGAACCAAGCCACATCTGCCATTGCCAAATTTAATCAGGCAATTTAATTTTAAACATGAAAACAGTTGTGCAGATTTTTGTGCAAATTTCAGTCAATTTTCATCATAGCACGAAGCAAATTCTTCGAAATTTTCCAAGGAATCCGCACGAACGTTCTCATGTAGAAACTTTAATCGTCCAGTTTTTAGTGGCTTGCTTCCTTTTTGCTATAAACGCGGTTTAATTGCAAAATGTTGTCCCATTCAGGGTTGTGACCTGGAAGCCAGGAAAAAGACGGAATTTTTGAGAATCCGGAGATCAGAGTGTAATCTCGCAGTTCCCCATAGATTGTGAAGTCAGGGAAATATGCACCAACTATACCGAAAAAATGTGAAATGTTGAATGAATCGTCATTTTTGTCGTCCATCATCATGTTCTTGTTTGGTTTCGTGCAAAAATGCTGGAAAGTCCCCCCCCCACCGTTTTCATGCCGCAAATAATAGCTTGGTTCTGAAAGTTTCTCGGGGACAGTTGATTTAAATATCCAAAATTTGAAAGCCGTCTTACACAGAACTTTTACGCAACTTTTTGAGGAATGGAAATGCCGTCATGACATTTTCAAAATTATTGTGGTTATTGCCGAAGCCAGAAAAATATATATCAATCGGAGCATCTGTGGCGGTCTCATGAATAAAAAAGAATTAATTAATTAAATTATTTAAAATAGTTAATTTAAATTATTTAAATAAATTAATTAAATTAATTAAAAGAATTTCAAGATCGTGGATTCCTCCTATTATTTCCAGACAAGCAAAATCTAGATTTTCAATAAAATTTCAACATTTCATGTTATCTCATCCTTTCACTGCATGAAGTCAAAGAAAGTGTTTGAAACGCGACTACTTTCATATCCGTCAATTCAATTTTTTCCTTGTATTTTTTCACGTAAGTTTGGGCTTTTCTCGGTTCTAATATGTGTTCCTTTTTCTCGTGTTTCAGAATAGCGTAAAAAATGGCGTCTACCCAGCGCCGCTCCAAAGTCTTTGGGCGATGGTGGCCATCATTACGAGTTTACATTTTGCTGGCTTCAAGATGCCCTACTCCTTAACAGACAAAATACTAACGTTACTACCTGGGTAAGTTTAATCCATTTTGCTTCCTTCATCATTTTCCCCAAGTTGAAGTCGCAAAAAAAGCCCGCAGTCGCACCATCCTATTTCGCAAGAATTGAGAGCAGACAGGTTAGTTGAATAGTACACAGGGTGTCTAGCATCAGGATTTTCCCGATTCTATCAGGATTTGAGGTTAATCAGGATTCAATCCCGATTCCATCAGGATTTGATGAAAAATCGGTCGTAAAATCAGGATTTGAGAAAAGTCGGCTGTCCGATCGGATTTTTTTATGCTTTCGCATATGCTTATGCACGTATTTTAATTTTTCTCCGTAAAGAATCAGGATTTGGAAAAATTTTGAAGTCAGGATTTAGCAGTAAAAAATCAGTGAAATCAGGATTTGAGAAAAGTCGGCTGTCCGATCGGATTTTTTCATGCTTTCGCATACGCTTATGCACCTATTTTAATTTTTCTCCGCAAAAAATCAGGATTTAATCAGGATTTGGAAAAAAATTGAAATCAGGATTTAGCAGTCAAAAATCAGTGATATCAGGATTTAAGAAAAGTTGGCTGTCCGATCGGATTTTTTCATGCTTTCGCATACGCTTATGCACCTATTTTAATTTTTCTCCGCAAAAAATCAGGATTTGATAAAATTTTGAAATCAGGATTAGCAGTCAAAAATTAGTAAAAATCAGAATTTCCCATAATGAAAAAAAAACTAGACACCCCGGTACATCACAGTACCTTGTAACATCTCAATTTTCGGAATAAGTCACTCGCTTCTTTAAATTTTGTCGCGTTTCCGAGAAACCGCTCAAAATTTGTCTAACGGTCCACCGATCCGGCCCGTAATCCGCCATATTTAATTTAGCGGGATCACGAGCCACTGTTCTAAATCAATTCGAGAATCGGGCGATTCCATTGAAACGCTGTTAAATATGCCGATAGAATCAGACATTCCCCTCTTAAATTTTAAAGAGACGAAGAGCACAACAAGGAAAACTTTGCGGAGCGATGGAAACGGTGGCCGCATTTGGCATGCAACCGGAGCTCATCATGTATTATTGATTGTCTGCCCAACTGCTCTCGATTTCAGGAATCGAGGACGGATACAGTCACTCGGCTTACGAAAGGACGTAACTACATTTTGGGATGAGCCCGGAAAAGCATTGAGTTTTATGGACGATAGGGTTCATCACCAAGTGGAGTTACGTCGTTTTATGAGGAGGGCGACATGCCTAGTATCGAACACGTTTGAATGATCGGAGACGATTTTGTTTCGTGGCTCGTCACGGCGACGCGACGTTACGGTGAAAGCATGTAGGTCGTTGATGGTGATAGTTACTTTACCGTGGTCAGAAAGAACGTCGTATGAGCCTCCTGACGTTGCCAAATTTCCTTTGATAAATCACGGATTTCCGGGGGAATTGGTCAATATTTTTCTTCAGATTTTACCAGGCTGTCTAGTCTACAAGTCCGGAATTTCCGGAAAACTCAGAAATAGTACTGATTTTTTAAGGGCGGTCCGAAAGCTTTGAAAAAGTTTGGAAATTTTGTAAGAAAGTCTGGAATTTTTTTCATTTTTGTCGCAATTTGAGCGGGAAATTCAAATTTTTGAAATGTTTCGATTTTCGTCAAATGGAGGTACTGAAAAAGTATTGAATTTTTCCGTTAAGGAGGTACTGAATTTCTCGGGAATGTACTGAAAAAGCACTGTAAAAGAACAGATTTTTGGCCAGCCTGTTTTAGTAGACACCCTGTTCTACGGAGAATTTTGTTCATGATTTGATCCAAAGCGTCCGAAAATTTAAAGGAAAAATACACACAACACTCTTCTAAAATGAATATTTGCTGAGAGGAAATTTGGCAACTCTCGAATATTCATACGGCGTTTTTACCTGGGACACCTGGGACAATATCATAAAACATTTGATAGTAGTCGTAGCTTGTAAATGTGATTGACTCTGAGGCTTTTGTTAGCTATGAAACGCAAGGGAACAGAGAATTTTTGGAACAACGTGGAGAGATGAAGATTTAATTCTAAATTTTAGAATGACGGGGAACGGAAGGTATGTAATAGATGAACAGATTAATGAATGAGATTAGGATGTGTCCCTTTCTTTCGCTATGCGTAGAACACTAACATGAAGTAACCAAAAACAGGAAAACAAGAGCGCCTTCGATTTCTGACGTATACCACCTGCACATCTGCGGAGTTCGAATAGTTGTATCCACGCGTTGACATCTACAACAGTTACGTTCCTCGCAAGGAGACGTGATTTCACAGTATTGAATCAGTTTTTTTCAAGAGAGAACAAGTCCGTTCCTCTATGGGTTTTAGTTAGTATGTCCTTTTATGCAAGCCAAGGCTCATGCAAAAAATGGCTTGTTCCCTTTTGAAAACAACCGATTCATTTACCAAGTGCGGACATAAATATATTTCAAAGTGAGAAAAAATATTGGAATTTTTCAACGATTCCTCGCTCTTTTTATTAAAAATCAAATCAAGAAGTGCTAAAATTCTAAAATGCCCGACGATTATTGAAGTATTTTATAGTGGCGCATACAGCAAAATCTAATCTTGAAAAAATTGTATTTAATCGTTCAAAACACAGGCCCTGCTAAGCTGATAATTGTTCTATTTTCTAAACACTTGAAAAGCCGGTTTCAGGTATTGCCTTCCAGCATAACTAGTCAAAATTTTAAGTACTACTGATGAAAAATAGCAAATACGGTATGAGGCTCCACTTCTTATTTTACCGGAAAAATGGTCTTTCTGCAAAACACATTTTTACTCATGCTGCTCATTTTTGAAGCGCAGCGGCGCTAAGCGACCTCTATCGCAAACACTGTCGTCCAGCTAATGGACTCGTAATGCAGCGTCGTCGGTGAATATGGATTACACCAGCTCAACGCTGCGCTGGGACACGGGTGTTCAGAAATCAGTGGCGTGAATTGCGATTCATCGATTGTTTTGCCATTTAAACCTATGGTAAAGAATCGATTATTAAAGTGTTCGCTGTGAACACCCTGTTTATCGATCCTTTTCGTTATGTTTAAATAACAGAGCAATCGATAAATCGCAAAGCACCTCACGCCACTGTCAGAAATCCGTCGAAACCATCATCAATCAATATCCGGTTTAATTAATTTTCAATCTCGCCTCAACATCCGCTTTTCCATTCACAACGATTTGCAACATCGTTGTCAAATAGGACTTCATTTTACAACAAGGAACTAATATTTCTGGGTCATTGCAGAAATGACGTATGTGTAATTATAGTTTCCCTATGCTGGTAGGTGATTTTACAGATGAGTCACTCTTGGTATGTATTACAAAATGAGGTTCATTTCTGGCTCATCTTAGGAACAACGTACGTGCTATTAGTTGCCTACGTAGACAGGTGCTTTTATGGATGAGCTAAAATTTGAGTTCCCAATACCAAAATGTATGGTTCAAGTATCCGCAGTGGACCGTAGCTTTTCCTTGTTCGAGCATATGCGAGGGGAATTAAACGCGAGAACCGGCAATATTGAATTTCGTGCTCGTCACCCGTTTGTCAAATGGACTTATTTGTGCTGAAACAAACTGTTTTGTAAGGAAACCGTAATTGTGCACCATAAGATCGATCAAAATATGAAAAAAATCTATATTCATTTCTAGAACTTCGGAGAGTTTTATAGTTTTTCCCCCTGATATCTCGGGAAAGTAGCAGAAAACTCCGGTTTTTCATCAGGGAAGAGCCCGGGAAAATCATGGAAAAATCAGGGAATGAGCATGGCCAGAATTCTAACTCTATAATCAAGGGTTAACATCTCGGTCATAGCTGTCAATTATTTTTGATGCTCAAATCGTGTTCAACGTGAAATAGCAGAAAAAACATGTGTCAGAATGCTTAAACACACCTCTTAGAGGTGTCCTCAGCTAAGTTGACGGTTGTTTACTATCGGTTATGCAAGCGCCAACGACGAATTTGGGCCTATGCGCACCAAGCGGCGTTCGCTACAATCCACCATGAAAACATCCGTCATTATAGGAAGCCGCAGACTTCTAAGACCAACATCAGGGTGTCTACAAGTCCGGAAAGTCCGGAAATAGTACTGATTTTTCAAGGGCGGTCCGGAAGTACTGAAAAAGTGCGGAAATTTTGCAAGGAAGTCCGGGATTATTATCATTTTTGTCGCAATTTGAGCGGGAAATCCAAATTTTTGAAATTTTTCGAATTTCGTCAGTTGAAGGTATTGAAAAAGCACTGAATTTTTCTGTTTAGGAGGTATTGATTTCCTTGGGAATGTACTGAAAAAGTACTGTAAAAGTACTGCAAGAGTACTGATTTTTGGCTAGCCTGTTTTAGTAGATACCCTGAATCTGTCAGATTATTTCCAAAACAGACGTTCTTCGATGTAGATAGTCCATCTTCTCGTCTCAAGACTAGCTCTCACCGTACCCAACATAGCTGGAAGCCGATCCGTCCTTGTGGAGTCTCCAACTGCTCCGAGTCTTTGTTTACCAACAGTGCCCCCGCGGGCGTCCATGCGTCATCCATGCGTCGCAACGCACTGCACCGAGCGGGCACTTGGACGTCTGCACGAGCGGGTACATTGCAAAAAGTTGCCGGGCGCAAGGTCGCCGGCCACGCTCCGAGCGCGCGCCACAATGCCAAGTTCACGAGCGGGAGCGGTGCGGCGCGCGACTCCACACTCGACACCGCCAACCGGAATGTTTTGTTTATTTTTAATCGACTCTTTACCTCCAGCCGATCCGCTAACGAGTTACCGCCACGTCCGGTCCGGTTTCCGACTAGTATGTGTCATTTGTCGACGAATGTTTCACGTCATGATGGGATGACGTGTTTACGCTGCACTGCGGCCCAGCGGGGTGTCTACAAGTCCGGAAAGTCCGGAAATAGTACTGATTTTTTAACGGCGGTCCGGAAGTACTGAAAAAGTGCGGAAATTCCGCAAAAAGGTCCGGAATTGTTTTTAATTTTTTGTCATTTTTGTCGCAATTTCAAATGTTTGAAATTTTTTCGAATTTTGTCAAATGGAGGTACTGAAAAAGTACATTGAATAAAAAAAAAAACACATTGGATCTAGAGTCCAGACTCTTAAGAACATCGACAAGAAAAAGTACACTTGATTCGATCAGAATCTAGCTTAAATCAAGAACCAAGCCTCTTCATTTAAGCGGATTTCGTTTTGATTCAAACAAAAATCCGATTGAATCAAGAGTCCTTTTTCTTGTCAATGTTTTCAAGAGTCTGAACTCTAGATCTAATGCGTTTTTTTTTTCCAGTGATGGTATGACGCGTTTACGCCGCACTGCGGGCCAGCGGGATGTCTACAAGTCCGGAAGTTCCGGAAAGTTCGGTAATAGTATTGATTTTTTAAGGGCGGTCCGGAAGTACTGAAAAAGAGCGGAAACTCCGCGAAAAGGTCCGGAATTATTTTCATTTTTTGTCACTTTTGTCGCAATTTCAAATATTTGAAATTTTTCGAATTTTGTCAAATGCACGGAGAAAAAAACCTCGTGCGTGAGACCCGAAGTTGAGGTTATATGGATCTCTGAAGTTTTCGGATCACGTATCTAAATACTTGAGGGCCAGCTGCCGAAGTTCGGGTCAGACATCTGAAGTACTTCGATATATACCGAAGGGTTCGGGTCACACATCTGAAGTACTCCGGTACATACCGAAGTGCCTCGATGTCTGACCCGAACTTCGGCAGCTCGACCTCAAGTTTTCGAATGCGCGATCAGAAAACTTCAGAGATCCATATGACCTCAACTTCGGGTCCCAAGCACGAAGTTTTTTTCTCCGTGTGGAGGTACCGAAGTACGGAATTTCTTTGTTGGATGAAGTACTGAATCTCTTGAGAATGTACTGAAAAAGTACTGTAAAAGTACTTATTTTTGACCAGCCTGTTTTAGTAGACACCCTGCTGGGCCAGCCAGGGTGGCAAAATTTCAGGAAAAGTAAACTCTTGAAATTTCACGAAAAATATTTTATGAAATGTATGAAATATATTGAAAATACCGGTTCCTTTTCATGTGTCACAAAATGTAAAAATTGTGACTTTCTTCCATTTTTGTGTGTTTGCGTGCGGGTTGCATACTCTAGCCACGAAAAATATGAAAAATTTCACAGCCCCGTGAAATTTCATGAAATATTTCTTTGAAAGTAAAATAGCTCAAAAATCACGATGAATACATAGAGAAAGTCTGAAATTCACTCCGAACCTCACAGTTCGCCTAAGAACTACAGGTTTTTTAAAGCCTCCCGCTTCAAAAACAATACTCCGGCACAGATTAGATGGGAGCTTAAAATACGCAGCTTCATGAACTCGTTCTTTTCAATTTAATGACGGTCATGAAAATCCAAGAAAAATTCCTCTTGAGCGAGCGTACTATCCACTTTTCAGAAATGCGAGGATTGAAAATTACTGAACAGAACTCATTCGCAGAAATGCTGTTGAATCAGCTGCGAAAAACTTTCCACTGCCTTTAATCCTACATGCCCTTTAACGCATTTTCGTTTTTTTAATGTGGCGGCTTGTTCTCACAGATTTAATGGTTTTGAAAGGTGCATTCGGGCTACATTACGTAATAAGAAACTGCCATTTCTGGTTTATTCAAGAAAGCACCCATCCAAGAAAGAATCTAATTCGAAAATAAGCCAGAAGTAGAAGTTATTCTTACGTAATTCAGCCCATTTGACCCATATGTACTATACCGATTTGCTGAGTGAGAGTGCCGTATGCACACAAAATGGATTACATTTTGCAATAAGGAACCACTATCTCTGGCTCTTCCATGAAAGCATCTTTCTGCATAGGGAAACCAGTGGCTTATATGTTGGTTCTGAAATGAGGCAGAAATAGTGATTCCTTATTGCAAAATGTGGTCCAAATGTTGCTGAATTCCCTCTGATAAGACGCTTGGTCCTCTGAAAACTGGACTACATTTTTACGTCTACATGATTTTTTTTTTTTTTAAAGCGTGCCAGTAGGGCTCGCTTTTTGAAATCACTCGGATGTACCATAGTACAGCACACAGATCAACCAATGCTATTCAACGGGTCGTCCAAATATTTTTTTCCTCGCACCCGTTTCTTTGTCTTTGAACCATTACACTGTCAAGCCCTGATGGTCTTTTACCAAAAAATCTAATGAACTGCTAATTGGAAACCCTTAAGAACATTTTTCTGTCAAAACCGTATTATTGAATTTGACAGAAACCTCATAGGAGCTTTTTTACGCTCGGAGGACTCAACTCTAGAACCTTCTTTCCCGCCAAAACTCTATAGCCAATGAGCGTCTTGCACTGTAGGTGCAATCTGTGATGAGCCTCGTGACTCATTATACTATGTACTAACCATGGCCCCTGCCGAAATCCACTTAAACCACTACAGTTATCTCGCGATATAGCTTTGGGTGTCCGGTTTCGAGCAAGGCAATAAAAGACGGCGAGGCGATTAACCGATTAACCATTCACCGTGATGCGAGGATCCACCAAATTTTCTCAAAAATTGTTTTCCGTCTATTTAGCGAGTTTTTCTTTACTTTCCGTTGAAGTACAAATAAAAAGAGACCTCATTTGTACAAATCGGCCGAACAGGAGAGAAGTTACAGTTCGAAATCCAAAGAGATTAACTCAACGCGATTTCGATGCACGGCAGTTCGCCCAAATCACGGTCGTGCGCAAATGCCGCATATCAGCTTAAAATCAAGATAATTGGACGGAATCTTTAAAATTAATTTACATTCAACGTTCATGAATCAATATTTTCTCCCAAATTTAGCAAAAAGTACCAATTGATGCAAAAAGCAAAGACGTGAAAATAAGAGGTATTTGTCCAACATTTCAGTTATTCGGCACGCTTTTCCAACATACTCATGTTGGATTTTTTCTTCTTGTTTTTTTTTTTTTTTATCGAAGAACGCTTAATAATAGTCAAATGATTATATCGTCGTTCCTCTGACGTAAGGGCGTATCTCGATTATCGCATGAGCCCCAGAAGACATGGATCTATATGTAAAACAGGGCTCACGTAGGAATTGAGATACGCCCTTACGTCAGAGGAGCGAAGATATCTGCCGCGCCAAGAAAAATGCCGTATGGACAATCAGATGTTGAAAAATCTACTCAGGCAAATCATGTATTTTCCGGAATTTTTTAGAGTATTTATTTCGTGATTTGATTGAAAGTTTCTGAAAATTTTGAGGGAGCATATTCGTGTATTTCCTAAAAAGTGAATAATTTCTGAAAGGATTGTTCGCAACATCCGAGGCGTTCTTTCTTAGCACGGTAGATTTGGCCTTTTCCCTGAGCATAGAACTGGGGAAAGAAAAGAAGAGACGAATGTCACATTCAAAAATTGCACCATTCAACAGATACTCGGACTGCATTTTGCAATTTGAAACTATAAATCCTGGCTCTTTTGGAAAAACACTTATGTGCATAGGGAAACTAATGGCACATACGTTGTTTTCAAACCGGGCTAGAATTTATAGTTCCGAATTTCAAAATGTAGTCCATTTACATGCTGACCTATGGGCCAACTGATGATTGATGCATCCAGACTGATGTGACTTTTGTCTCTTCTTTTCTCGCTCCAGTTCTAACTAGAGTACCTATATTGAGAGAGTATGGCCACTGGGCCCCATGGAGAGGCTTAGGACCCAAAAATGGCGGTGCTTTGTTTTGGTTTTTGTTGATGGGAAGGGGGTCATTGCCAACTTTTGACGGTTATCACCAACCGCACTTGCTGCCAACCTTACTACATCTGAGATCATTTTTCTCAAAAATTGCACACGATTAGCCTTAAAAATATGTTAATATGTCGCAATAGTGCATTTGAGTAAATTTCTCGTTACGATAAGTAAAGAAAACTACATTTTGAGTCATTTTGCATTACATTAATTTATGGCGTCCGCCATTTTTTGGTCCTAAGGGCTCCATTCAGCCTAAGATGGCTGAGCCAATCAGAGGTGGTAACTCCAATGGCCATACTCTCTCAATATAGGTACTCTAGTTCTAACAGTCCATTCCTCAAGCGAGTGGAAAGTTTTCCCGCGAGTGGTGGAATCTCGCCAATCGTGGGTCGGTGACTCGTCGACCTGCAAAAATAACGCGCGGGAGTATTTTTCCGGTATTTAAAAATAATTGATAAAGTATTAACGAATTGTTTCCTGTTTGTTTGTTAAGGAAAACTCTGGAATGGCAATTCACGGCCTGCACCATCATGGCGATTGTTATCTGGCTCACTGTTATCTACACCCTCCGTTACACGCTGAAGCTCCTGCTTATGTACAAAGGTCAGTCTCCTTTTTAACTTTCCAAGTTGATCCATCTCGTTGAGTTTATTTTTTATTTTTTTTATTTTTTTTATTTTTTTATTTTTTTGGAGATGGTCTTCTTGGGGTCATTTTTGGCGGTGTTCCACGAAAAAAAAATCAATCGATATCAGCTGTTGCTAAGTTCCATTGGACAATTGGACCACATTTTGCAATAAGAAATCTCAATTTTTGGATCATTTTAGAAACAACACATGGATTGCATTTTGAGGAAAGGAACCAAGAGCATTCCAATGTAGCTAAGATTGTGCAACATACATTCTTCGAAATAAAATTTCTGAAATCATGGAAAAAATTAAATTTACAATGGTAAATTTTGTCTTGAATTTATAGATTATTGGGAGTAAAGATGAAACTTGTTCAGATGATCAGTTGATGTTTGCAAGGTAAAAAACTTTGCACAATCTTAGCGACATTGGAATGCTCTTGGGTCCTTTTTGCAAAATGCAATCCACGTATGCCATTGGTTTCCTTATGCAGAAAAGTACTCTCATGGAAGAGCCAGAGATATTGGTTCCATGATTCAACATGTAATCCAATTTTGCTGGCAAATCTGCGCGGCAACGATTTTTGCCATCTCCCTCATTTCATTGATCTCCCCACGAAAGAACGTATCTACAATTCAAGGTTGCCAAATTTTCCCTCGCTAATTGCGTTTTTACCAGACGAAACTGGTAATTTTCAACCGAAAGTTTCACCGCTTATTCTTCAGGTATCATGCCAAAATAAGAAAAATTCTTGACAAAAATTTTACAGGTATTTTCTTTGTGGAAGATTGAATTTTTCAAGTCAATTGTGCAACCCTGGAATGAAGTTACGTTCCTTCGACCGGGGAACGACGATTTGTTTATTCACCTTCCGACTTTCTTTTTTAACGGGTCGTTCGCAATTTTTTTCATCGGTTGTCTCGCTCTTATCGATAGCGGATCCGGCCCGATCTCATCGTGTCCGAAATTTTTCCGTGGAAATTGCCGCACTCACTTCTGCCGTGATAGCGAAGAGAAAGTAAGTGCAAAAATAAAGCTTTGAGAAAACGGAATCGGAAGCTTCTGACCGGAAAATGTTATTGAAAGAAACATCCGTTCTTTGTCAAATTGCCACTGATCACTGGAAAAAAAAAAACACATTGGATGTATCATTGCTAATGATTAATATATATATTATTCTACCTCTCCTTCTCTATTGCTACTGATTAATATATATATTATTCTAAACACAACCACGAAAGCATGCAGAAGATAGCACCTACGGCTGTCTTTCCGAACAATAACCTAGCATGAAAATGAAAAATACCCTTTACATGTAATTGAAATAAAATCAGTAGATTTTTAATTATGCAAACGATTTTAAGGAGTCTTTGGGACGATCACTGGAAAAAAAACACATTGGATTGAGAGTCCAGACTCTTAAAAACATCGACAAGAAAAAAACTCTTGATTCAATCAGAAATCTAGCTTCAATCAAGAACCAAGCCTCTTAATACAAGCGGATTTCGTTTTGATTCAAGCAAAAATCCTATCGAATCAAGAGTATTTTTTCTTGTCAATGTTTTCAAGAGTCTGGACTCTAGATCCAATGAGTTTTTTTTTCCAGTGATCGTCCCAAAGACTCCTCAATATCGTTAGCATAATTAAAAATCTACTAATTTTATTTCAATTACATATGAAGGGTATTTTTCATTTTCATCCCAGGTTATTGTTCGGAAAGACAGCCGTAGGTGCTATCTTCTGCATGCTTTCGTGGTTGCGTCTTGGTCACGCACAACAAACACATTTTCAAGCTAGAAATTGGCAGGAGAGGGCTGCACTTTACTTGAAAGCACTGTTCCTATGGCTCTCTGGAGGAGTATTACTGCTGTCTTGCCTAAAACTACGTCACTTTTTGCGCACTTACGGCTTTCTCATATGTCTCGTTTGGATACAATTAATATGAATTTCGCTGTTTTAGCAATTTCAGCGATTTCATCTAAAAGAGTTGAGGCGAATTTTGAAGGAAACTCGATTTCGAAAATTTGACATTTACTGCTGTCGTTGCTATCAAGGATTCAAGGCAACGCTCTCGGTGTAAGAAAAGCCAGTGCGCCTTCAATTACTTGCCCATGCAAAACGGGCACTCATCGAGTACGAATAGTTGTATCCAGGCGTTGCTTCGCCACCAGTTCCGCGCATTCGCTCCTGCCATTCTTATAGGATCACCTGTGCACCTTCAATGATTATACAACCATTGGATACAATTATTCGTACTCGATGGATGCCCAGGTTGCATAGTGCAATAATTGAAGGCGCACTGGCTTTTCTTACACCTAGAGTGCTGCCTTGATAGCAAAGAGAGCAGTAGTATCAAATTCTCTAAATTGAGTTTCCTACAAAATTCGTTTAATCTCCTTTAGATTTTGAAGCCAACTCGATTTCGAAAATTTGACATTTACTGCTCTCTTCGCTGTCACGGCAGACTAGGTAGCTTTCAGTGATGGAAAGTTTGTCGTCGTAGTTAACTCTACCCAACCGTACCCGGTAAAGTATACAAGCCGCCATTCCGGCTCGTTCGGCTATGCCGATGTAGCTTTAGAAACCGAGAAGTCTGTGCGAACCCTGCCGTTCCGGTAATGAATAGGATACGTCGGGTCGGTTTGACCAGCAGAGTTTGCATACGAATGGCAGTAATTTGCCAGAGAAGCTGGAAAACACGTTTCCCCGATCCATGACTCATCCTCGGTGCATGGATGCAGCAGTTGCCGCTCCGGTCATAAATCCAGGGTGTCTACAAATCCAGAATTTCCGGAAAGTACGGAAACAGTACCGATTTCTTCAAGAGGGTCCGGAAGTACTGAAAAAAAAGCGGAAATTCCGCCAAAGGTCCAGAATTTTTTTCATTTTCTCGTCATTTTTGTCTCAATTTGAGTTTCTGGCTCAAATTGTTGAACTTTTTCGAATTTTCCGAATGGAAGTACTGAATTTTTTGGGAATGTACTGGAAAAGTACTGTAAAAGTACTGATTTTTGGCCGTTTGTTTTAGTAGACATCCTGAAATCGAACAACTCATAAAACCGTCCTCTCATAAACTACGGGCTGATTATTATGGTGCCTAGAACCGGAAATAACCGGGGAAAATCGGGATTTGTCAGGGGAAGAACATCTTAGAGAAAATCGGGGAATAGAGAATTTGCAGGTGTCGAAAATTTGATGAATTTCATGTTTAAGTGGAAACTACTGAGTGAACTGAATACGAGGATACCCTTATTGGTTCATGAATTGAACAATTATTTAAGGAGATATGACGAAATGATCTAATCTGCTAAAATATGTGTGTTTGAATGGGAAATGCCGCCAGATGACGTCACTAGGCGGTGCATTTTCTCACTTCTAAATCTATTTTTATACTATCTCCCATGCCAGAAAAAAATTGTAAAAAATTCCGTGAAATCAGCTCTTTAAGCACTTTCAGATGAAGCAATAAAAAATTTGCATGCAAATTCTTCATTCGTTCCAGAAACCGGGAAGCTCTTCATCCACCGCCTAGGGACCATATCTTTTTCAAATTTTGCCGAAATTTGAAGTACCTACTTAATTAGATTTATGTTATTGTGACTAAGCAGCCATCATTGGTCCCTTGAATAACATACTTGAATGTTCTATTGAGCCGAGAGCGAGACTAGAGATTAGGGGAACAGTGCGATGCCTGAAGTATTCCCACAGTCTTGCAGGCGCGTCCCGAGATCGTTTTTCACGCTAAGTTCAAAGTCTCGGAAATTTGCCTCCGGAAGGGGCGGTCCTTCTTCATAGATCCGGTCCCAATTATGAAACAACAAAATTTTCTCGTATATCCACTACAATTAATTGTAAAAAGCTTGGTCTCTTTCCGTTGTCTTAGAGACTTTAACGCATGAGTAGAGACGTTGAATGGGACAAAATGCGTGATACAACTATTTCGACTTCCGAGTAGGTAAAATTGCATATCCACAAAATGAAGGAAACTATGCAGCTCTGTTTGTATTATCCCATCTCTTCGGCTCGGCAAACCCAATTCTCAGTTCGTGTGACCAAACGTTCGGCTTACATAACCGCACTCATTAGACTAAAAAACCCGATGGAAGAAGGTAGGTTACATGAACTGAACGTTCGGTTACTCTAATAATAAAAGCGGTTTTATTCTGAAGAGTGAACGCTCAACACACTGATCCTTACGATCCTTACGATAACTCATGACAAGGATGTTGATATTTTTTTAAAAATTAGTGCGAACGATTTGACTTGTATAAAGCTGCAAAAACAGCCAAAGCGTTGAATTTTTGAAAACATTACTGCGAAAGCGCTGAACCCTTGGTCTCCCTCCAAGATACACTCTTCAAATTATCCACGTATGAATTTACCCTGAGCCTAAATGCCTTGCAACTCGGAACATTTTCAGGTTAAGTCTTTCCACGCTTATTTTTTTACTATTCGTAACTGGATACAGCCTTTTTCCGTCACCAAAATCTCTTACTCACTACCGCTTATTAATTTCTTTAAGGTTGTCTCGCTCTTTTATGGCCCCTTCAAATCATGGGGGAGTAGAAAAACCGCCTCACCACAAATAATTCATCGGGAGGGAGGAAGGAGGAAGGACCAATTGGACGTATTTCTGCCAGAGGAACTATGTGCACTAAGACATGAGCCCTGAAATCCACGAGAACATATGCATAAAAGGGCTCACGTCATAATGCACATAGTTCCGTTTGACAGAAATAAGTCCAATTATTTCTCTGGCTCGCTTTTGCGCCAGTTCAGACATAGATTCGGATCAACCATATTTAAAGAGCAGCCCATTAAATTTCAAGTTTGCTCGACCAGTAAAACAGGTTGACTTGTAGACCACATTTTGCAAGGAAGCACTATTTCTAGTTGTTCATTTCAGAGACATCGTATCGTCGCTCCTCTGACTTGAGGTCGTACCTGCTTCACGAGCATTATCACTCATATGGACTGCATTTTGCAATCAGGAACTACAAATACTGGTTCGTTGCAGGATATACAGGAACAGCGTATACACCATTAGTTTCCCTGTGCACATTGGTGTTTTTTGCAGATGAGCCACACTGGAAAAAAAACACATTGGATTTAGAGTCCAGACTCTTAAAAACATCAACAAGAAAAAGGACTCTTGGTTTTTGATTAAATCAGAATCTAGCGTAAATCAAGAACCAAGCCTCTTAATTTAAGCGGATTTCGTTTTGATTCAAGCAAAATTCCGATTGAATCAAGAGTATTTTTTCTTGTCATTGTTTTCAAGAGTCTGGACTCAAGATCCATTTTTTCCCCCGTGGAGGTATTATTGTTCCCAATTATTGCAAAATGTAGTTCATATAATTCCATGCTATCCAGACCGTCGATATGTTGTTTCTGGGATGAGTCGCAGAAAGTAGTTCCTCATTGCGAAATGTGGTCCAATCTGTTGCGCCCGTGATTTCATGGGGGACAAGATCGTTTTTACCGCTAATTGCGCGTAGGCATATCAACAGCCAGCTGCACTGAAAACCGAGCATTGTTGCTCGTGTCTGGCAACGTTGCTAAACTGTTCTCAGTTTGGCTCGTTAACATTCGTGTCGTTGCCAAAAATGCCGAGTAGTTACATGCGTTCATCCATCCGCCGAGTATGGTTTATGTTGACTCGCGGTTAAAGATGAAATGTTGAGTGTTGAATCTTCCACCTCCGTACACTGGAAAAAAAAAAACACATTGGATCTAGAGTCCAGACTCTTGAAAACATTGACAAGAAAAAATACTCATGATTCAATCGGATTTTTGCTTGAATCAAAACGAAATCTGCTTAAATTAAGAGGCTTGTTTCTTGATTTAAGCTAGATTCTGATTGAATCAAGAGTACTTTTTCTCGTCGATGTTTTTAAGAGTCTAGACTAGATCCAATGTGTTTTTTTTCCAGTGCACGGGTTTCTCTCGTGAAATAAGTGTCCAGCCCCTCAGAATTGGTCCGGCCCTTTTCGAGAAAGAAATCCCCCCCCCCACTCGGGGGATCTCAGCAAGCCAGTCGAGGGGGAAAAATCCTACTCCTCCCCCGGTGATCATACTCCGCGTACCCTACCCTCTCCCCATGTTATCGACGGAAGTTTGGTAACGACATAATATTCATAGGTCCTATTCCTTTTAGCGTGACGTACTGACGTGCAAGGGAAGAACGCCGTATGAGCCGTCAGACGTTGACAAAGTCCCTTTGACATATTACAACTTTTCGGAAAATTCGTGAATACAGGGTTGCCGCAGTCAGGGAAAACCGAGAAATGTCAGGGAATTTTAAAAAGTCAAGGAAAATTGGTTAAAGCACCTTCATTTGCTTTCTAGAATGAGTTCGAGGTCTCGAACAACAAATTTTGCCAAAAAACTATTCTCTATTATGCCTTCTTAACCATCCGTCACATCTTCAATTGTCAGGGAATCCCACCAAAATGTGTCAAGGAAATCAGGGAAATGTCAGGAAATTTTATTTTCTAAATTCTGTGGCAACCCTTTCTTGATGCAATCGATTTTTTTCTTGAATCGAAAGCCATGTCTCCTATCTCCAAAGGATTTCCTTCTGATTCCAGCAAAAATCCATTTGATTCAAGAGTATTTCTTCTTGTCAAATTTTTCAAGAGTCTGGACTCTGAATCCGAGAGACTTTTGTTTCCAGTGCATGATTCGAATTAGTTGAAAGTGAGAATTTGAGACGGCGAGTATAAGTTAATCAGTGAGGACGAAAACACACCAACTCGGAAAAATGAAAATTACAAAGACATACCTAAAACTGCACAGTAGGCGAAGAAGTTAGTTTAAGAAAAAGACTTATCGACGGTGAAACTACCAAACCACGTATCTCGGTTTGCGACGTCGCAGACTTCCTGTCATACTTTATTTTTTAAATGAAAAACTACTTAACGTCCAGTCTTGAAAATGTTTGTGATTTTTCCTCATCGTGCGGAGAAAATTCTGTGAAAATTTCAAGGAATGGTATTGATTTGGTCTACTTCAAAAAAATAAAATGCGAGCGTAGATTTTTAAACACCGCAAACGAGATACGTGGTTTGGTAGTTTAACCGTCGTTATGCTTCCGAAAGACAAGTATTTATGGACACTTTAAAGGTCCAAGTAGGAACAGATGCGCTAACTTCAATGGCCTTTATGTAAATTAACTGTCTTTGATGGAAGTTGAGCATTTTCGAGTTACGGAGTTGGTGTGTTTTCGTTCTCACTGATTCAAGTGAGAGTCGAGACAAGAGGCAGAAGACGGTCAAGCCCGGGTGGATTAATGAATTATTCACGAGTACGAACTCGAGGCAAGTGCCTTCCATCCACCATACTCGTTCCTGTTATTTGAGTTCCCGGTCGACCGGCGAAAACAAACAGACCGGCCCCCGGACCCGGTGTAATCGGGCGTCGCCCCGTCCAATTCGCGGCGGATTCTGAGTCTCGTGGCACCGAACACTGGAAAAAAAAAAAAAACACATTGGATCTAGAGTCCAGGCTCTTGAAAACATTGACAAGAAAAAGGACTCTTGATTCAATCAGATTTAAGCTTAAATCAAAAGGAAATCCGCTTAAATTAAGAGGCTTGGTTCTTGATTTAAGCTTAAATCTGATTGAATCAAGAGTAATTTTTCTTGTCAATGTTTTTAAGAGTCTGGACTCTAGATTCAATGTGTTTTTTTTTCCAGTTCGCTGTACTGCCGTGCTAAGGAAGAACGATGTATGAACCTTCAGGCGTTGCCAAATTTCCTATGGTTAATCACGAATTTTCGGGAGAATTTTCGAACGTTTAGAAGTGGTTTCATGGATTTTCTCGTAAAATTTCCTGCTAGAAGCACCCCATAAATTTACAATGAGAAGAAAATAAAATCACAATTTGCAGTTTGAGTCGAAATTTTCATGCCCAACCTCTCTGAAAGGCGCGGTTCATTGTGCGGTGGGTTTTAGTGCAAGGATCTAAAATGGCAAAAGTGCTTTCAATTCTTCATTCATAATTCAAAGACATCTCTTATACGCGAATAGTTGCTCTAAAAATCATGCTCAGTACATCGCGATATCAAAACTAAAGCACAAAAGATACGCACATCCTACACCTATATGCAACTGATTGTGTCTAGGACCTACTTTTGTTAAACGAAGAATTGAAAGCGCTCCAACATTTTGCATCCTCGCAGTAAGGCCCGCGCTCGGGTGAAGTGGCGAGTGCCTGGGGTGTCAAAACGCCTTCATTTCCGTGCGTATGCAACGCGGACATCCATGGACCCCGAATAGTTGCATCCGGGAGTTAACAGAAAACTTGTATAGTGTTCGTCGCATTCGACACTGAACTGATGGCGCTTTGCTCACACGGAAAAAATTAAATTGCTGATTTAACAATTCAGTTGCTTAAAAAAGTGACTGTAACGTCTCAACGTAAATCCTACAACAGAAAAATGCTACTTTAATCACTATTGTGAGCTAATTTAACCACGGTGGTGGTCACATTAGCATTTTTTGATGTAAAATCTACATTGAAACATTGCAGTCACTTTTTTTAGCAATTAAATTGTTAAATCAGCAATTTAATATTTTCCGTGTAGCTTCTTTTATAAGTACATACTATTTGCCTTTAAGGACCGTAACATCATTTCACCAAAACCGGGGGGGGGGGGGGGCAATTGACCTGACACGATCCCTAACATGATCCTTTACATGACACTTAAGCGAAGAAAAAAAATCAAGTTTTCAGCAATTTGATCATTTTTTTCCCGCTTATCCGGGCCTTTTGAAACGGGGGGGGGGGGGGGGGGAGAGGGGATCGCCCCCACCAAATGACGCTACTGCTTTAGGATCCCTGTAGGTAAAATCACCCTGGAGACTGCTGTAGAACACCCTTTTTTGAAGTGTATTACAAACTGCAATTGAACACGACTGGGTTTTTTTTTGTTACAGGATGGATGTACGAACAAAGAGGCAAGAACAGGCAAGTCTCGCTCAAGACGAAACTTTGGCTCCTCGCAGTTAAAATCCTCTCGTCCGGCGGAAACAAACCCCTTCTCTACAGCTACCAGGGATCCTTGCCGCGTCTTCCACTGCCACCCGTTGAGGAGACCATGAAAAGGGTAAGTCCGGATCAATATCGTTTTTTTGCACCAAAACAGAAAGAAAAATTCGCTGAAACATCCTGGAATTTTCACAATATGCGCAACAACTTTTGGATGATAATATGAACTCACCGACTGTTAAAGTTACATCCTAGCTACATTATCTCAGAGTTTCTACTACTAGAGGCGGATACAGCAATTTGGCAACACCGAATTTCCTCCATTTGAACCTATGCTAAATAATCGATTTTTGTCGGAGCACCTGGACCCTCCAAGAATCGATAAATTTCCATAGGTTTATATGGAGGAAATCCGGTGTTGCCAAATTGCTGGATCCGCCAATGTCTACTACCTGGAATAATCTGGCAAACCCAGGGAATTAAATTTTTGAGGAAAAGCTTAAGACACAGGGAATTCGACGTTGACTCAGGAAATTTTGCTTTTTCAAGCGGAAAGTTTAGCTATTTCACTGGAAAAGCCCCTTGGATGCTGAGTCCCGACTCTTAAAAATGACAAGAAAAAATACTCTTGATTCAATCGGATTTTTACTTGAATCGAGAGACAAGTCTCTTCATTCAAGCGAATTTTCTCTTGATTCAAGCAAAAATCCGATTGATTGAAGAGTATTTTTTCTTGTCAAATTTTTTAAGAGTCTGGACTCATAATCCAAGAGTCTTTTTCATCCTGTGTTCAATATTTTTCACCCTAACATATTTTTAGATTAAGATTGTGTGGAAGTGAAGTTAGACAAGAAATTTAAAAGGCAGAGGTAGCCTTTTTGAGTCATCAGCCATCAGAACGCTCGGAGAGTGATTGTGTCATACCTCTGAGACAAATGAGTTGTGCTACAAAAGCTTCCTTTGGTCTCTGAAGTGCCTCAACATTAGAACGTCTCATGATTGAGGAGAGGACTAGATATACGATGGAAGTGATACACAATGAATGAATATGATAATCGTGCAACGCCATTTCCTGCATTCGAACAATGATATCCAAAGTTCTCACCTAGCCACCCAGATACCCCCCTCGATTGTTGCTTGTTAATTGGAATGGTCGATGTTAAAACTTAATAAGTCGATTTTGTGATAAGCCTTGAGGTTCATTCGAATGCTTGTATTCTAAGGTTCATCAGATAATGAGTTTTCTCTGTTTTGACATCAACCGTTTTAATCAGATGGTTCTTTGCTTCTGTGCCCAATGAATTCGTAGTTAAAAAGGAATTTAGGCGTAATTTCCCTTTGATAAGTGGATCAGATTCCTTAGTTATGAACGCTCTGTAATAAATTGTCAGAATTGCATTGAAATGTACTTGTAATCTTACTTTTCTTTGGAGACAGAGCAATCAGGCCTACCGTACCAGTTCAAAGTTTAATCAGAATTCTGGAAACATCAAAGGGATTTGTTGTCGCTGGCTAGTAAAATCACACTTATCTAGGTGGATACAGCTAAAAAAGTCTAGCCTGTATGCCTGTTGCTCTCAAAAATCTTTAAAATAGAGAGGCATTAGTTTCTAAATAAGTCTGAAGAATTAAGTAACTGGGATATTTCAAAAACTTGTATGCGATTTTGTTTATGTACTAATACTGAGAAACAGTCTAATTTCAATGAAAAATAGGAAAATTCAGTAAATTTTGCGCTGTCAACAGTAATGGAGAAGACAAAAAACTACCATGTTATGCCTCTAAATATTTTTGTTTCGCTAAAATTGGGTATTTTGCATTTTTTATTGTTTTCCAACAGTCTCCTGCTAAAAACCCGTAAACGGAAGTATTTTGTGCCTAACACCCTCGAAAAAGTCATGGAATTGTGAAATCCGAGAGCCCCTTGTCACAATTCTTGATTTTCCTGTTGGAAACAAATTAAGTACCTTTTCAGTTTGACAGATTTCCTTCTAACCTGGTAACTTTTAAAACTGGATACCAGTGGGTACTAAATGTTTAGGCCAGGAAAGTTCAATTGAGAGCCAGAAAATCGTTCAAAAACTGTCAAGAGGTAGAATTTTGTATGGCTTTGCCACTAGAGGATGAATAATAACTTTGTTTTAATTCTGTTGCTGAGATCACTATCTGCAAATTTTTATTTTCGCTTATTCAAGTGACTGATATATCCAAGCGAAGTGACAGAAGTAAGTATTGTTTTTTTTCAAGGGCGATACTATGATGTAGGTCATCTTATATCTGTTAAATTGCATTGAAATCCAAAAAGCTTTTCAAGAACATCTTGTTTAGTTAGAGATAAGTTTGGACTCAATGTACAAATCGTTATTGTCTATTATACGCATGAAATTCAATGACTTCAGAATGAAGTCCCTCTTCGAGTATATTTTTTTAGATGTTTCTATTTTTCAGGATTTCTTTTGTCTTTGATTGTGTTCAGATTATCACTTTTCATTTTAATTCTTCTGTTTTTCAGTACTTGCGAAGTGTGAGGCCATTGTATGATGATGAGAAGTACACCAAAGTTGAGAAACTAGCCGAGGAATTCCAAAGTGGCATCGCCACTAAGTTGCAAAGATACCTTGTTCTTAAATCTTGGTGAGTAATAATCGAGTCACTCATAAATGGTTCAGCTGAAAATTTCTGTAGGGAAAGGGGGGACATTGCAGTTTTTAGGCTTTGTGAGAAACAAACCACAGAGGAAATGTTTTCCATACATGATTTAATTGGAATCAAGATGCGTTTAAGACTGACATTTCGACGGTGTAAGTCAGCAATCACATAACTCGTTTGCGGTGTCTGAAAATCTCCGCCTCGATGTTATTTTATTAAAGGAGAACAAATTGACATCATTCCTTGAAGTTTTTGCAGAATTTTCTTCGCACAGAGAAGAAAAATCATAGCAGTTTTAAAGAATTGCCGTTGAGTAGTTTTCCATTTAAAAAATGAAGTATGATAGGAAGTCTGCGACGTCGCAAATCGAGTTATGTGATTGCCAACTTACACCGTCGATTTGCAGCAAGTCCAGGCCAATGCCATTATCCTGAAAAAGTATTTTTGTAAGTATCATAAGAATTATATTTTTGGGTAAGTTTTAATTTCACTGATCTGAGACTTTATGTCTAATCTTTTTTCAAAGGTAACTGGTTCATTTCCTTACTTTGATGTCTTCTTTTAAAATTTGATGGCATTGAGTTATTCAGTCATATCTATTTTAAGAGTTTAAAAACGAAACAAAAAACCTCATGAACAAAGGCAACATGTGTCATTTGAAGTATGTTGCCAATCCAACACCTCCTTACCCTCTTTCTAAAAGTCAAGTGTAGTATAAAAAATGAAAAAAAGAGTCTTTGCGTCCCATCGGATATCTAACGAAATCTGAGATCTGAATCTAACGAAACGGCTGATATAAGGCCATCAGTAGAGCGACCAACCTATCAATCAGAATGGACCAATTACAGAGCTTCCCGCAAGATTCACCAAGCCCATAGGGTACTCAGGGTACAAGTTGAATCCCAATATTGACACCAAAGAGCACCAACCTAGTTTTTGCTGAGAGTAGCAACCTTGTATTCCCCTAGAGCACTATAGTAGTATTCTAGTTTTCGAGGTTCACGGAACCAATGATCGGTAAACCTCGACAACTAGGATCGCTCTCATGAGGAAATACAGTTTCTAATGAGTAGATTCAGAACACCTGTCTGATTCAACGCGAAAATTTGTTTCAAACCTTTTTGCGCCGTTTACTAAAGTAATTTTGTTGTATTGCTCAACAGGTGGTCCAGTAACTACGTTTCTGATTGGTGGGAAGAGTATGTTTACCTCAGAGGTCGATCTCCCCTCATCGTCAACTCCAACTTCTACGGTATTGACGCCATCCTCATGAGTCCGACCCAGTCGCAAGCTGCCCGAGCTGCCATGATAATCCACACCTGTCTCCAGTACCGCCGGCTCATCGAAAGACAAGAATTGGAACCGGTCAGTACTTTTTCATTTCATACCTTGTGCATTGAATTACTGATGAAGTAGACTAATTACTGTGAATAAATACTACAATTTTGCAATTCGTAATGTATGAAATCTTTGTTCGTTCATTTGAACACAGACACAAAGAGACCCTTTATTGCTATCTTGACAATGGTGGAAGCTTTTATGTTCAGGACTTCATTATTTAAGGATTGACTTAGCTACTAATTGGATGTTGAACAGGTTTGGTCTTTCATTTTGCAAACATACCAAAGCTTGGCTAACTCGTTCAGCTCATTACATCACTCAAAGCTCATCATCCACCCAGTATGTTGGTCAACAGCCGAAAAAAGGATTATGGTGTTGCTCCCTTTTTCTTCAAGAAGTGTTGAATCCCCGAAAGTAAAAGTTTCCACCCATCGCCAAGAGGCCAGTAGAGGGTCTTTTTGTGTCTGTTTAAACAGAAAAGGGCACTGATTAATTGAATGTATTTCTGCCAAACGGATCTATGTGCATTATGACGTGAACCCTGTTATGCAACAAGGTGGAGAAATGGTGCTGGGTCCACACCATTTCGTAGGGGTGTTCAAACGAATTCTTGCCGGAACGCTATCGATATCGTCTCTTATTGAAACTGGCGCAGTACCGACAGTAGCGATGATGTCGACAACAGCTGGCCTTATCGGATTTTTGAGAGCTCGCACTCCATGCATTGTTGCCCCGTGTGTCGGTTTATCAGATTGCCTGGCGCGGCGGCGCGTAAAATAGATGTACAAATGGCAACAGCTTATTTTCGCCAGCTCCGAAAACTCTGATCGCTATCGGCAAGAGCGCTCTTATCGTAACTTTTTCTTAGCGGAACTGTTTCGGTAGCTTACCGACAACCGATTGAACAGCCCTACCATTTCGCGGGGAAACAAAGCCAAGAAATACCAAATGGTGTGGACCCAGCACCATTTCTCCACCTTGTTACATACAGTTCGGGCCACTTCTTATTGTTTAATTTTGTCCCTGTTATGCATGTGGATTGCATTTTGCAAAAAGGAACCGTGAGCATTTCAATGTTGCTAGAATTGCACAACTCACATCCTTTGCAATAAAACTACTGAAATCATGTAAAAAATCAAATTTACTAAGGTACTTTTTGTCTTGAATATATAGTTTATTGGGAGTAAAGATAAAACTTGTACAGATTATTAGTATATTTTTGCAAGGTAAAAAAGTTGCACAATTTTTGCGACATTCGAATGCTTTTGGTTCCTTTTTGCATCCATGCATTCTTATGGATCTCAGGGCTCATGTCTCAATGCACATAGTTCCGTTTGTTAGAAATACGTTCAGTTGAAGCATTATATGGTAAAAAGTGTAAAGCAGACAATGTAGTTCTAAAAATACTGTAATTTTTTAGTTGAAAGCTCAAATTTCTCAGGCCTTTAACTGATTTTAAAACATAAGTATCGGTATTTTAGGGATGGCCTCCCGATATTACCTGTCAAAATTTCAAAGATTCAGCGTGTTAATTCAATGAGAAATGGCCATCTCAAAATGAACATCTATTCGCCCTTTTACTGGGTAATACATCTTCCACAGAAAATATTTGATGCTTGCATCTCTTTGTGCTCTTATTTTTCGTTGGGTGTCTACGTTAGTTTTCCATTTTCTTTTTCAGCCCTTGTGGCAACCCTCAAAGCATTTGTGAATGACAGATTCGGTATCATGTAAATAAAATCGTTTAATTTGCTGCGGTGTTAATAAATTTTTATTTTTTACTTTTCCAGATTCTGATTCAAGGACTTGTCCCTCTTTGCTCTTGGCAATATGAAAGAGTGTTCAACACAACCCGTGTTCCTGGAGTAGAAACGGACAAAATCGTTCACTACAACGACACTAAGCATATCGTTGTCTACCACAAAGGACGTTACTTCAAAGTCTACATTTACCACCAGAACAGAATCCTCCATCCTTGTGAAATCGAAATGTAAGAAATGAGTGTTTTTCACTACTGTAGCAATTACCAAGTACATTTTTATATAATTTTTTTTTTTTTGTATCACTGTCCTTAGAGAACTTTCTTAGTTCTACAATGGTTTTAGCGTTAGGCAAGTTTTAGTGTCATGATTCCTCAGCGAATGCTGTTCCTCAAATGCAAGTTTGGAATCTCTTTGAACTGATAAACTTTTATAATTCCATTCATTTATCTTCTGTCACTGAAGGCGAAGGCATTTCAAATTTTTTCTTTGGCTCAAGCCAAACATAACGTTACTTTTTTGGTGTCTAAATGTAACCTTAGAATTATTTACATTGCACCAAAAAAGAATATTTTACCCTCAAGCATTGAATTTAGTATGCATCATTTTTTATTTTATATTTTGTTTTTTTACTCTTCTTCCTAGTAATTGATTTGCTAAGATACTCAAATATTTAAAAAAAATTGATTTCTTTATCGTCTTTCAATTGTGATTCAATAATTTGAAAATTTTTATTTTGCTCAGTCAAATGCAAATGATCCTAGAAGACACATCAGCTCCTGCAGCAGGTGAAGAGAGACTAGCGGCTTTGACAGCCGGAGAAAGAACAGCCTGGGCCAATGCCCGAACCGAATTCTTCTTCAAAGGCACCAACAGACAATCCTTGGACGCTGTCGAGAAAGCTGCATTCGTTGTAGCTTTGGACGATATCCCATATGAATTTGATGAAGTGAGTAGAGTAATTTTTTGGGGTAATAACTAAACAAGATTTTCCAATAATCTGATAAACCTGGAAAATTAGGGAATTTATGGGAAAAGTCAAGGAATTGTGCGCGTAGCGCATTGGTTTTTGCAGTGTAACTAAAGGAAAAAATCTAAGTCAAATTTTTATTCAAAGGTCAGAAAAAGCGAGGTAGTTCAAATTGTATAGATGTCAGGAAAATTCAAAAAAGTAAAGGAAAAGTCAGGGAATTGGAAAATTACAATATGTATAATGGGAACCTTATAAAATGTTTATTCTCAAATTAACTTTGCATATTTCCGGAAGTTGTGTTAGTTGTCATTGTTGAGAGCTGTTAAAGAAAACCATACTCCTTTGAATCACCCCACGTTTCATTATAAATTTTGAAAAATTGTAATGGAACAGACTTTTGTGAGTCTCTTCTCTAAATTACCACTTGATTTCTGATTTCATTGCTTTATTGATTTTCATTTTTTCTTTCCAGAATGACCCTAGTAAGCTGGACCAATACGGTAAAATTTTGCTTTGTGGTAAAGGTTACGACAGATGGTTTGACAAGTCATTCACCCTTTGCTTCAGTACAAATGGAAGGGTAAGTTCCTTCAAATTCTCTACCAACATCATTATTTTCACAGTGAAACATTCAGTTCTCCATACACAATTTTTCTTAAACTTTGCTAAATAACAAACTCAGTAGTGCTTTTATTTTGCAATTTATGAGACCTAACAGCTTACTTTGAATTTTTATTCAATTTATCAAAATACGTATGTTTGTAATATCTCTGTTCATATTTTAAATTTCACTTTTTCAATTTCTTTCTAAAGTTCTCTATGTGTTTTGAAACTACGGAACCTACCTACATCTCGAAATCATTTAGTCAAAGTAATGTTGGCATTTTTTAATCTTTAATAGCTGTAATTTGTTTCTTGAAATAAAAAAGTACAGCTTCCATACTGCACAACACTTATTAAGAATTCGAGGTTAGTATGTTGTTTCATACTTTATTTTACTTTTATTATTTTCTGTTTCAGATTGGTTTCAATGCTGAGCACTCATGGTAAGAACAATTGTACTAATTCCTGTTTATGAAGAATTTCTTGATAAACACTTCAAAGAAATTAAAATCCTACAAATGGAAGTCTAAGAGAATTGTTGAATAAAGTTTTAATTTGGTATGATAAACCATAAAAGAAAACTCAAAAATTAATTTTTGAACAGTCTATTATTGCATTATGATTGTTTCACTTGACATTCAAACCATCTAATGATTTCCTCTGTTCACAACAGTTTCTCTTATCGGTGGGAAACAGAAAAATCATGTAAAATTTTTCAATTTGAGAAAAAGCAGTTTTTGACTGTTTTGTCCACAGGTTAAAAAGGAAAAATGAAGAAAAGTATTGTACATTTTATCGTATCCTAATCTGACAATCAAATTTCATTATCTTTCAATCGATCAAGCTACCTCAGCATATTGTATTTAATATTTTTTTTCAAAGCAAGTACCAAAAACTCATAAAAAGAGCGACTTTTTGCTTTTCAGCAGAACTGCCGTCCTAAGTAAAAATGCAGTATCTCCACTCTACATTATTCAACTGTTTTCTGACAAAATGCTGTTTCACAAGAAAACTGAAGAGTATTCATACCTCATTTTTTCTAGTAGACTGACGTATCATAAGGCTTTTATAATAAACAAATTTTATCCAGTGCATCTAGGTATTCTTTTAATGGAACAGTTTGTGTTGAAGAAAGATTTAAAATTTGGATTGGAGTTACAGTGTTTTCGTTGTGAACAGTATGTGTTGAAGAAAAATTTAAAATTTGGATTGGAGTTACACTGTTTTCGCTGTAGACGGCAGAGGAATTGTAAAAGCCGCGTTACAACGCCTCAAAATCATGAGGCAAGTCTCTTTCCTCAAACTTCCAATCCTTTGTGTAACTCTGAAAGATTGGTCCATGCACTACACCTTAAAACCATCCTTATTCCTTCATAAGGTACCGCTCTATTAAATTCTGAATCTGTTTTGTAACCTATTTCTCCAAGGATTTTTGGGTGAAACTTGAATTAATGAGATAATTTTCAGGGCCGACGCAGCTGTCATGTCTCACCTGTGGGAGTTTATCATATCCGAGGAAACGATGAGCGCTGGGTAACGATCCTTTTTGATATCCTTCTTGCCTTGTACCGTTCGTTCTATCCTGTCTAGTTCTGTCCGTCTCTGTCCCTTCTTCCTCATTCGGACTGCATTTTGCAATCAGAAACTTCAGTTTCTGGCTCATTTTAGAAACAGTGTTTGAACCATAAGTTTCCCTTTGCAGATAGATGCTTTTATGGATGAGCCTGAAATTATAGTTCCTTTTTGCAAAATGATGTTCATCTCAACTCTGATCGTTGTTCTTGCACTCTGGTCAACATCACTCTTGTCTAAGTTTTAATTTTTAGAAGGGATGGTGAATGAAATAATTGTCTTGTGAAGAATGATGGCAACTAGATTGTTCAAGTGACTGCGTCATTTGGATACCACAACGCAGACCATTTGTATCTACATTTAGCTGTTTTTAAAATAGCATTTGCAAATGCAAATGGATTCTCACTTGCTCCAGTGAAGAATAAGTACGGTCCCTTTCAATTTTAGTGTGCGTTCTTTCATGAGAAAGTAAAACTTCAGACTTTGCAGTGATCTTGACTTACCTATACCTCCTAGTTGTATCACTACCTTATGTCCTTCTCATCCCGTTTGCCGATTTACCCGATATTGTCTCTCTTCTGAAGTCGTCTGAGATACTCAAAAGTAACTGAAATGTAAAATTATAATTATAATGAGAGAATATAGTGACAAAATTACCCCTTGCAGTATGGTTTTTAGAGAAGTTTAGAAATAGAGCACTACATTTAACTGATTTTTTCTCTTAAATGGATCTATGGCACAAGCCAGACATAGGAAACTGAGAAGACTTTTTGCCAGTAAGATCGCATAAAAGTCGCATCATAAAAAGCTGAAATTCACTCTTTGATGCACAGTAAGTGTAGTCGATTGTTATTTTCAAATTCCTTGCACCGAGGTGCCTTTTTTCCTAAGTTGCCAGCAGCTAACTAAATCTTCCACCTAAGAAATATGAGGAGATGTTGCTAGCTTGTGTCAAAAAAGAGCTTGCAGGCGCAGAAAACTTGAACAAAGACCATGCAAATTGTGCATTAGGGAGTGGATTTTAAACATTTCCTATGCTCTCATCGTAATCTTTATGAGATTTTACTCGGAAAAAGTTTTTTTCAATTATTGTATCTCACAAGTGCAGCAGATTCATTTCAAAACTTTCATTCAGTTTGATTGATAAACTTTAGTTTATTCAGAACGCCTCAACTATCCTTATCCATTCCTCTCCCCTGTCATCCTGATGCACATTTTGGTCTAAAGCAAACACCTGAAAAACTCTAACGCTGGGTGGTTTGCCCATTCATCAAAATTTGCCTCCCAATTGGTCCGGGTCCCTCCCCTCCCCACCTACCTGCCTTTTTTACCCCCTCTCGCCAAGAAAAACGACACATCTCATGACAGCTCTGGTGATTTGTGGTGGTCGCTCATCGTTGTTGTCGGTGACTGTTTTTGCATTGCATTTTTGACTTTGTCCGTTCACAAACTGATTTTTCACGGTGTTGGTATTTGATGTTTAGGGCCGATGCTCCTGTCATGGGACATTTGTGGGAGTTCTGTATCGGAACTGAAATTGAATCAGGGTATGGTATTTTTAACACTTAATTTTTTTAATTTTTTTTGCTGTTGGTACTGGAAACTGTTCAAAATCATACTCTGTGCTTACCCCTCCAATATTTTTTCCGCTAAAAGTGTCAAATAAGAAGTGAAATAAGTGACTAGTAATGTATGAGACAATTTTGTCTCGCAAGTCTTTTCCCAGTATTTTTATTTTATAAAATTTCACACTTCCCGTTGAAACTTCCTGATAAATTTACTGTTTTCTGTTTTATTTCATTTCTGATTGAAAAAGGCACAAACAAAACATCTTTTATTTTGCCCACCATCCTCTGATTTATTTTGACCAGTTAACAGTTTCACAGCCATTGTTTGAGCTTTTTGCTTGCAAGCGCTTCTTAATATTGTTCATGAGTAATGCATCAGACTTAAAAGTGATATTTTTAATATATTATAGAATTTCTAATTTTGTGAAGAGTGTCTGCTCTGATACCTATGAATTTGTACCGAAAGGAGGCGTCATGAATGACCTCACTCTTGCACGCGCTGTTTGTAGCCTGCCTTCTGAGATAGGTTTTCATAGTATTTTTCTCCCCTGATTGTCTCTCAAGAATGGGAGCACCAAAACTTTGCAGTCAGTAACTTTGCAGTATTTATCATTCAATTATTTTTCACCCATGAGAAGAGAAGTATAAAAATCCTGCAAAAGGATACAATTTTTATTTTATTCATTGCTTTAATACTGCATTCAAAATTAAGAGAAGATAAATTTTGCAAAATTATCTCGCACAGAATTCACACTGACGTAATTTAATTTAATAATTAATTAGCTAAAACTTTCTCTCGCAGCTTGTTACCATGGTCCCTTTTCAAAGGAATTAAAAAAGAAAAGGAAGAAACAAACATTCCCCCAGAAACCATCTAGTTTGCAAATAACTTATTGTCACAAAATTTACCTGAGCATCCATTTATTAATCCTCCTTAATAATTTTTCCCCCCACAATTCAATCGCATATCCGCTTTAAAACTTGCATTAATTCGACGTATTTATGCTAAAAGGAACTATGTGCATAGGGTTTACGTGCAACATAGTTCCTTTTAGCATAAATACGTCTAATTCTAAGCTTGGGCATGAATCTGCATTTTGATTTTATTGTAAAGAGTATCAATAGAAAAATAAATTTTCTGCTCTGAATATTTTAGCTAGAACTCCACGGCCTACGCACCACCAATTGGTATTTTTATGTGAAACTTTAGCACCTCAAGTATGAATTAAATCTCTGACTTTATAAAAATTTATGAAATCTTAAATATGATTGACAGAATCCTTCAACACTAATTCTTGAATATTATTATTATTATTTTAAATCAGTTTTGTATCCTTCGAACACAAATTGTGTAAAGAAAGTAGACAGAGATGCCCTGAAGAAAAAGAAGCATCGATTAAAAACAACACTTGTTATCAATAACATTGTAATAGCAATGAGACGATATGCACGACTATTGGTGTACATTTTTTTAACATTCAGATGTTGAATCAACACTCGCTTTTTTAAATATGTACAAGGAAAGTCATCAAGAGTGTATCAATATTCAACTGCTGCTCAAAAACGCATTATTTATATCATGGTGCATATCTCGTAAAATAGAATCTACCAATCAAAAACGTTTTATGAAAAACTTGTCAGGGCTTTTTCAATTTTTACAGATTGTTCAAATGTTAATCCTCTCTGGGACTCTCAAGAACTATTGACTGTGCACTGATCAAGTTTTGAACGGTTTTATAATTAGGAAAAACATAATACAGCTGTATGCTCCCTGCCCCTAATGCGGCCAGTTCCCTTAAGGAGAGACTTCAACTCAGAATATGAGACTGCCTGTACGGAAAGGTCTTGAGTAATGCAAAAAAAAAAAATTTTCACAATTTGAAAACATTGAATGGTCTATGGCAAGTTTTGCTTTCAAAATCTTTAGTTATGAACGTAACATCCCTCTTCAGCTTAAATATCCAGAAAATTTTATCACAGAAATTTGCCGGCCAGCTAATGTTAATTTGTCATTTATGTTTGTTTCCAACAGATATGGACCCGATGGACACACTCTTGGAACCCCCGAATTCAACCCGCCGAAACCAGTAAGGTTACAATGGGAATTGAACGCATCTTGTCAATCAGCCATCGAGCGCTCCTACCAAGTGGTGCAAGGCCTGTGCAATGATATTGACCTCAGAATTTTCATGCACACAGCTTACGGTAAAGGACTCATGAAAGAGTGCCGAGTCAGCCCAGACGCATACATCCAAATGGCTCTCCAACTAGCATACTTTAGGGTAAGATTTCCTTGAAGAAATTTATTTTTTTCACTGCTTTCAGTTCAGTTATATCTGAAGGGACAAGGTGGAGAAATGGTGCTGGGTCTACACCATTTCGCGGGGAAACAAAGCCAAGAAATTCCAAAAATTAAAATTAGAGTCAAAATTAAATTTTTTGAACTCTAATGCGCACCAATACAAAACTGAGGGGGGGAGAGTGTTCAGCTCAGGCAGTTTGCATTGGCATATTATTGTCTGAAGGGATAAAAATTCAATTTTCTAAAAACAGAGGATTAAAAATAACCAGTCATTTTCTAATTTAGCAACAACAAAAAAAAAATGCAAAAACTGACTGTCAGACACTTGTCCAAATTTTTACACTCCTACTTTTCGCAAAATATAATGTATGAGTTTAATTTGGTAAATGCCAAAAGGGTTTAATAAGGATAGTTTGAACAAAAAGATTTCCTCGTCAGGAGTAAGCTGTATGCTGTGGCTAAAGGTTATTTTTTTGTGTATTCGTTGCCATTGAATCTTAAAACAACTTTGGTTTATGCCCATTAAGCACTAGTTTTCCATAAAATTTAATATTTTCTGTAGAAGGCAACTCTGTTGAGGAAGATACTCTGTTGATTTGAGGATATGATTTGCCAGTAAATCCTGAAGTATCAATATACAAGCATCTTTTTTGAACTCAGCATTAGAAAATGTCCAGGAATTAGTAATGTTACTTCCGACGATGTACCATTGTCAAAAATTCGCAATGCTGTGATGTTTGTGAAATTTTACGTAAGAATTGGAAGTCATCATTCCTTTTTTGCCGGAAAAAATAAACAAAAATTGAAAATACATTGTCCATGCTAAAAATGCTATAGGCAAAGAAGGATGGAGGAACAAAGGAATAAAAAGTCAACTAAAATATACCAAGGAATTCTCATATTCATCTCTCTCTTAGTTTTAATCAAATCAACTAACCGGAACGAGTTTACCAGAAACGCTTTAAGTCGCATATTGGAAGAAAATGAATTGGACATAGTTTTGAATTAAACTAATCATTGAGGTCCTCCTGCTAGAAATTCAAAGCTGAAAAAAAAAGATTTGAATGTGAAATTAGTCGTTAAACTTTGTACCAAACACTGGGTTTTTGGAGGTTTGAAATTTTCAACCTCATTTTCTCATTTCAAACTTAATAGAACTCGCTGCCTTAGTGTTAAATTCTGTCATTTTTACCTTTGCAAGTCATGGACTCTCGAGTTAAGTTACCAGAAATTGAAAACAAATGAACAAAAAATTATCCGACTTCAATTTTTATTTCAAATTATTTTCGTCTCCCTCTTCGAAACTTTATTTTAAAGGAAACTCATGAGTCTTTTTATATTTAAGTTTTATCCAATATCTCTGTCTGATTGATCTACCTGTCTTTCTCACATTTTTGCTTTCATTTCAGGATGCAGGCAAATTTAGTCTCACCTACGAAGCCTCCATGACCAGGCTCTACCGTGAAGGTCGTACTGAAACTGTCAGGCCGTGCACAATCGAATCTGCCAAATGGGTTCGTGCAATGGAAGACAAGAACGTCACGGTGAGTGCTTCATGCATATTGACATATTGCATATTGATAGTTGTTGATATTTTTTTTAAAATTGGGGATCAGAATTTTTACTTCAACAGAAATGAGAAGCTCAGGGAAATCAGAGCGTAGGTCTATCATCAAGTTTTCATGATCATTCAACTTTGCATTTATTTTTCCTAGATTTAAAAACAAAATTCAATACATCTTTTATCTCTGTAAAATATTTTCATGATCCTGTAGGATTTTATGTAAAAAATTATGGAGCAGCATAAACTTTCATGATTCTGGGAAACAAAGAAATTTAGGACTACCAAACCACAGAACGTAGCAAAAAATTCATTTTGCTTGGAATTTTTAAGAGAATATTGTTAAGAGAATGAAGAAAAATTGAATGAAATTTAGCTAGAAGGGGATGATCAGTTGCCTTCAGGAAAGCAAATTATAACAGGAGATTTCCATTGTCACAGACGGAGATGTGTGGTCTTGTACTTGTATTCCTTCGAAAAACAAGTTTAATGATCATGATAACATTGTGATGGACATTTTCCTTTGTTTTTCTATGCTTCTCAAAATTAGTTGTTAGTTAGAACTTGTTGAATTGCAAAGTTCTCGTTGGAAAAGACAAAAAACGAAAAAATAACACCAGAAATCATTTTTATCTATCAACAGTAGGAGTTATATTTTCATTAAAGCAGAATCAAAAGTAAGCAGGACACACATGGTCCGTTCAAATTTCAGACTTTTTGATTGTTTTATTGTTCTGTTTAATTTGCCCGGTCACTCATTTTTTATTACTCTCTCCCTTTTCAGACGGAACAGCGCATCAAGCTCTTGAACGATGCTTGTTTGCAGCACCAAAGAGGTTACCAGGACGCCATGTGCGGCAAAGGCATTGACCGACACTTATTCTGTCTCTATGTAGTTTCAAAATATTTAGAAGTCGATTCTCCATTCCTGAAGGTAAGTCACAACTTCTTTTATGAACTTTTCGAGTTGATTGTTATAATGCCATGTTGTGAACAGTTCATATTTACTTACAATTTTTATAGTCACCATTGCAGAGAAACGGGGTTCTTATGCTTACTTAATGTGACAAGGAAGAATTTTTTTTTTTATATCTCAACACCCTAACAAGGTCTACAAAGGCCTTTTATGATCGATGCATTTTGGGTATCAATAACCAACTAATTTTTTCTTATCAATTTAAACTTGCAAAATGTGATATATCAGGTGCTTATTTTCTTGTCTGAAGAAGGAATCAAACTTAATGGGCCTGTTGCAAACTTTTGCTAGAGCAAAAATAAGAGTTGTTTCTTATAGATAATGCCTCAAAAATCACGATGAGCGCATCGGCAAAGTCTGAAATGCATTCATAACTTCACAGTCTGCATAAGAAATTTGCGGTTTTTTGAGCTTCCCGCTTCAAAAGCGATACTACGGCACAGGTGAACATTTTGTAAAAGGAGTCGTTCCATCGTCGGCAATACTCATTATGGCCGACACCAATCCGCCAAAACACGTGTAATGGGACGAGATAATACCTGAACTGGATTAGACCAGATAACAATCGGCGTGTTTTAACGTTCATGTTTTCCACGCCCGAATTGATTGACCTTGAACTCTCCTTGAATTACGCGCGGAACTGCGCGCAAGCGTCGGCCATGATGAATATCGCCGACGATGGAGCGACTCCTCTAACAAAATGTTCACCTGTGCCGTAGTATCGTTTTTGAAGCGGGAAGCTTAAAAAAACGCAAATTTCTTACGCAGATTGTGAAGTTATGAGTGCATTTCAGACTTTGCCGATGCGCTCATCGTGATTTTTGAGGCATTATCTATAAGAAACAACTCTTATTTTTGCTCTAGCAAAAGTTTGCAACAGGCCCATTATTCATATCAAAGTTTCTTACATTTAAATTGTTACGCTTTTCAGTTTTCTGCTATTTTCCTCAATTTCCGTGTTTCAACATCTTTTCCTCTGAATGGGAGAAACAGAACTTTTTTTAAATTCCTTTTTATCTCCTTGGTTCATGGAAAAGTGTGTGAACTTATGATCATTTTACCCATTTTTTTGTGGGTTCGACATTTCTCTAAAAAAACTCTAGTATTTCTATGAATTATCCTTAGAATATTTTTGGAGATGAATTGCACCAAATTTTACGGTGAAGTGGATCAATAGGCTCCATTAAAACCAAAAAAAGAAGAAAAATAAATACTTAAAAAATAAGAAAAAATAAAGCAAATTAATTTTCAATCAGCTGATTTTGAGTTCAATACGTTCGCAGCCAAAATTCCTGTTTATATCTTGAAGTACCATTGAAAAGTGTTCGAAAAAGTTCAAAAATGTTATAATAGAACTTAAAAGGCTGTGTTCCTGTGACTAAGAGACCAGCATAGCTTTTTTCTGAAGCTAAGGCAATATTTTTCCTCCAAGTTACGATAGTTCTAAGTAGCAAAAAATACAGGTTTCAAACAGTGGCAAATCGTGAATGGTTGATTATCACTATTTCCTCACTTGAAGCCTTGGTGAAGAATAAATTGTTAAGGTGTTTGTTGCGAAGACCCTGTTTACCGAACTTTTCCATAGGTTTAAATGGCAGATCAATCAACATATCGCAAAGCACGCCACGCCTCTGGTTTCAAAAAGGAAAGTTAAAGCTTTAATCTCGTCCATGTATTGATAGAAATTTATTTCTCTTCACTAAGACCTACTCTCCTGTTTGTTTTTCAGGAAGTACTGAGTGAGCCCTGGAGGTTATCAACATCCCAAACACCGCATGGACAGACCTCAAGACTGGACCTGAAAAAGCACCCAAAATGCATTTCAGCTGGAGGAGGTTTCGGACCCGTAGCTGACGATGGTTATGGAGTTTCCTACATAATCGCCGGCGAAGATCTCCTCTTCTTCCATATTTCGAGCAAGAAGAGCTCACCAGTAACTGTAAGTATTGAAAATTCAAGCTCTAGAAACTCATTATTATTTTTCTCAGAAGTTTTGTAAATCCATGAAAAAATTTGTGAAACCGCCTGGCCATAATTTGTGATTTTCATTCGGAGAAAGGACCTTAGTTAACAAAGACGGACGTATTTCTGTCAAACGGAACTATGTGCATAATGACGTGAGCCCTGTCATGCATACATTCTTTCGGGTCTCAGGGCTCATATCTTAATGCACATAGTTCCGTTTGACAGAAATACATCCAGATATGTCAACAAGCAGCAGGAGTACTAGCAGTGGAGGAGAGCAATATTTACCAGGGCAAAATGGTTTTTTCCATTTTGTTGCGTTTTATTTTGATTACTTTATTATTTTTCTTGCTGACCTCATATGTGAAGAAGTTGGTTTTTTTTTAACAACGATGGCTGTGCTGTTTGGAATTTTTCACCTCAACTTTAGGTCATTGAACACATTTTGGAATTATGATATGCACGGTGGTTCAATTTTGAAGTGAATCAAAAAGTATAAAATATGGCACTTTTTGTGAATTCACAAAAGCTTAAGTAGAACTGAAGGATACCATCACTAAAACTGTAACTGAAATAAGTGAACTATACAGAATGCATTTCAAAAAAATTCTGTAAAATTTGAATGCACTGGTTTTAACAAAACAGTCTTTTACAACTTTTCTTTCTATTCATTCTGTTAGTTCACATATTTCAGTGTCTGTTTCAGTTTCTGTACCCTTTACTTTTCTTAAATTGTCTTTGATTTACTGAAGGTGTCAAATGCAAAATAATGCAAAATGGTGTCCTTGTGTGTAAAATTTCATGGCGTAAAGAGCATCAGATAATTAAGCCAAATCGAGTGCCTCACCTTATTTACAACGATTGTATTTCAGTATAATTCGAACGGAGTATAATTTGTGTCTATTTTTTAAAGAAATTGAATTAGGAGATGAATATTTTCTCAATTTCCCCCAAAACATTTAATTTTGGTATCTTTCAAAGATTTTCATTCTGCGTCATTTTACTTTCAGGACTCAAGCAGGTTCGCGCTCGCAGTCGAGAAAGCGTTAGATGACCTAAAGAATCTGTTCGCCGACTGGAAGCGGATCCAAAACCAGAAAAAACCTAGCGCAAACGCCTCCAAACCTGAAGTAGCCAATTCCAATAACTCGCACACCAAAAAACTAGAAAGCAACCATGTAGGATCAAAACCTGAAGAGGTCCTCTCAAGGCCAAACGAACAAAAAATACCCAACGGTAAAGACTGCCAAAGCTCCTTTCTTGACTCTGAGAGCGGAAAGTCCGACAAGTTGAGCCGGTTTGATTCGGAGCTGTTAGAAACAAAACAGTTCATCAACAAAGTATAGTGACCCTAGCAATTCAAATATGTGTATTTCTCATGTTTTCCTATATTCTTGCCTTGGCGTTGAAAATTATGTACTGATCTCACTGCTGTAGTCTGTAAAAATTGTGGATGTTCGTCATCGAACGGAAAATGAACTTCCGCTGGTATGAAGTCTTGATTCAGACTCGGATTTAGTCAATCCTTGATAGTTCATTTTTTAAGGACTACATTGAATCTGTGTAATTTTTTTTCAGACTTCTTATGCGGTAAAGTAAATCATATCATTGATTTATACTCGATTTGTTCCCACCTTTCGCAAGACGAATCGTAGATTGTCTTTGCAGAACATGCTCGGATCATCTTTTCATAGTGAAAAGACTGATAAGTTTTTTGTTTAAAGAGGAATTTTTTGGATTGTTTGACGCAGTAAAAAAGCAAACTTAAGAGAACCTAAGTTATTTTTTGTACTAATTTGTTCAACAGATTACATGACCAATTAGTCGATCTACTTAAGAGAGCTGCGGAAGATGGGCTGTTTTTATATTGGCATGGAAACTAAAGGCCAGAATTCCTATGGTAGATCTTTGGTCTCGCTCTAAAAGTCAGCCATCTCATTTGACGATTTTACTGTGTATTTTACAAAGAACATACGTTATTTTTACAAAGAAGGTTTTTATTCTTTTTTAAGAATTTTTTCCAAGGCGCAAATTATCCAAGACTCCTCAAAGGCTACCCAATTTAAATTTATCAACTTGAAATTTTTTTTCACTCTCGTGGTGGAAAACTACCGTTTATCATCGTTTTCGGTCCTGATGATTTTTACTCGAAACAAAGGTGCTAATTTTTCAACGACTGCCAAGCTACAAAGGCAGGAAAATACGGAACTATGCGCAGCTGAGTGTGATTTTAACGATATCAAATTACTTTAGTTCTGTTAGACTGTAAGTTATCATTTAAGATGTGGATCAACTGTACTGCGTCTAGGAAAAGCAAAACTATAATTGAAGTTGTATATAATTACATCAACGTATGAAATTTAAGTTTTCTGTAAATTTATTTGTGCTTGTGTAATTTAATTTTTCCTTGCTTGTGTCTTTTGATTATTTATTAATGGTAACAACAGCATATCTTTTTCAATTCATGATCACAGAGCAATTTTAAAAGTTTTTCTTTGTATACTTTTCCGTAGTTTCATCTGTTTGATTTTAAAATTTTACCGCAAATTATTTTTGTAGAAAGCTCAAGTGATGCCAACTTTCTTCCAGCTCTTTTTTTAATTTCGAAGTTTATTTATTTGCTTTAAAAAAATGAAAAGTATTGCTTGTTACAGCAGCACACAATGCTGTTTCAAGTGTCATTACTTTTTCTCTTTTAGTCTTTCTGTGAACAAGAAATTTGATTTCAATATCGCAATTTTGTGTCTTCAATTTTACAAGAAGATTTACCACTTTCATTCTTACCTCAGGAATGACTCTAGAAAGAGCCGTATTAATGTATCCATTACTTCAGTTTCATTAGTAATGAACGAAACTAGCACCTCCTTTACTGTTTTTGTGTAGATAATTTTTCTTTTGTTATTCACGTAGAAAAATTTTGTTTGATCCGTTTGGAGGATCAGTTGCGTTTCCTTTCAGAGTCCAGGTTGTTCCGACTTTTAAACGTAATCTTCCTCTCATTGTTATGTTTCTAACCTCAAAGTTCATACTTTAAATGACTGTATCGTGGTCGATTTGACTCTTTGCTCCTTGAACGTTCTGCTGATTTCATTATATTGATAATAGTGAATTCCTGTCTGATTCCAAGGAACTGAAGACTTACCGCCCCACCATTTATTTTCTAACTATCATTCGCAAATATGTTATCATTTTGTTATCAATTTGATTATTTATTTTTTTCTAGGTCTTATTTTCTATTTCAATGTATTCTGTATTTTTATCCTCTGTGATATGTGTAAAAAATATAAGAATATCGTCTGAAATCAAAGTACAAAACATGAAAAAATCAGATTCTTGATTCTCTCTTTTCTCTGAACACCCATTGATTTTCATCATTCAAAAACTGCGAAAACTCTTAGCTTGCTGTAAGGTGTTAATGGAATTCTTTTCAATCCCACTTCGGAGATAATTTTATGAGTGTAGTCAAAATTGGCCCCAGGAAATTCTCGCAGGCTAAAATCTTACTGTGACTTCAAATCTAGATTTTGTATTGACTATGAAACATACTCAAAACCCTAACATTATGTTTTTATTACTTTTGAATCAGTCTCTGAAGAGAAGATTTGACTTCAGATTCCTAAAGGCACAAAAAACTGTCAAGGAAAATCCAAAGTGCTATGTTGATTCGAATTTTGATGGTGGCATTCTTAAATGAGGGTTGTATATCACTACTAGTTAGAAAATAGTACCATGTGTGCGTAAAGAGTTTTCATGATTGTCACTAAGATCTATCAATGCCACCAATCTTTTTGGATCCAACATAGTTGAATATTTTGACAGTAGAACATATTGATGGTGAAACTACGAAATCTAAAAATTCCAATGTAGTATGTTGATCTCCTCGTCAATTTTTTAAAAGAATATTTTTCGACATTTTTGAAGGAAAAAATCAGGGAAGAAGCTTAAAAGAGCTAAAAAAGTCACTGAAAATTTTACCCAAAAACAATGATCGGTTGGACTTGTGTATTTATGCCACAAAGAACCGTGTAACAAAAGTAAAGTTAAAAGGGACGATGTAGCTCAAAAACTTAATGCGTCTAGTTATTTTTAATTTAATTCATTTTTGCATAGTTCCTCTCAGGATAACAATGGTGTAACTACAGAAATGCATTTCTCGGTTTGCAGTGTTGCAGACTAACAATCCTACTATTTTTCTATATGGAAAACTATTACATATAATTTCTAGAAAACTTCAATAGTTTTTCCTTTATATTTCAAGAATATTCTGTGGAAATTTCAAGCCATGATAATGGCTCAGTGTCCTTTAAAGAAATTAAATAGAAGCAAAGATTTTAAAACTCCACACCTGAGATATGCGTTTTTCCAGTTCCATTGTTGATAAATATGTTCAACTCTCCGTCTAAAAAGCAAAATGTAACAAGAAATCTGCTATGTCCCTAACTGCAATACATTTTTTGTTAGTTTCACCATTGATTTATTAGTGTCACAGAGATTGCTTCTACTTTCCCTTGTACCTATAGGCAAATAAGCACCAATTTTTTTAGATTCCTCCGTTGAAGTTTTCAGGGAAGCATGAAAATGCAAAGCAGATCCCTCCATCGAGCAGCAAAAATGTCGCTTAACTTTCACAGTGTCAAACTAGGTAGATGTGTATTGGTTGGAAAGTCCTCTTTTAAAATGTGTGCAATTTCAAAAATGAACGTACTCGCTAACTGATGATTTTATGTACAAATTTACAAATACCCTTAAAATTAACAGAATTTTGCAAAGAATACAATTATATTTGGACCGAGTTTAACAGAAAGGAACCAAGCCACATCAGCTATTGCCAATTTTAACTGAGCAATTATTTTTTACAAGAGAACGTTTATTCGGATTTCTTTGAAAATTTTAAGGAATTTGCTTCGTACCATGGAGAATTTTCACTGAAAGCACGAAAATCTGCACAACCGTTTTCATGTCAAAAATTAAATTGCCCAATCAAATTTGGCAATTGCTGATGTGGATTGGTTCCTTTCTGTTTAACGCGGTCCATTTGCTTATCTCGTTGCTGAAGTTGAACCAGCCACTCTCACTCAAAAGGAAAACTCGAAGAACCAAAGATTGATCAAGTCGCTCTACCTCCTAATTTTACAGCCTCAAAGTAGCTCATAGTTCTCAAAAGTTTTACTGAAATGAGTGAAGCATTGACACGCAACCAATTAAGAATCCATAGCGTTCATTTTTCCTCAAGAGGAATCTGTATCTTTTTAACTACAAAGAGATTAGCATTCAAGGACAAATGGACGTATTTCTGTCAAACGGAACTATGTGCATTATGACGTGAACCCTGTTATGCATATATGCTTATGGGTCTCAGGGCTTATGTCTTAATGCACAAAGTTCCGTTTGGCAGAAATACGTCCAAATGAAGAGTGGAAGTTCAAATCCTGGTGATTAAGCTCCATCAGATATTTCTAAGATTGTGCATGGCCTCCCTCACTTCAAAAGTACCCAGAAACCTCTGCTTGATGGACCTTTTTTTTGAGGAATTTTCTCTTAATTTTGATCTCATTTCCTCCTCTTCTTATGCCACAAAAGCACATGTAAAATTATGCATTCTTCTCTCTTTTATTCTTGGGACACTGGATGTTAAATGAGTAAATTAATAGCACAATCTTCACAACACTTGATGGTGCTCACTAGATTTTGAAATTCCACTTGTCAAATGTGGAACAATTAATTATGTTTAAGTTAAGAAACAATCCAAGATTTGTGCACTTAAGTTTCAAGGCTGGGACTTTCTCATGACACACATGGAGCCTTAAAATTCTTGTGAGGGGTGCATAACAAGTCTGCACTTTGACAAATATATTGCGCACATATTTTTCACTCACTGATGATATGCAGTCATCAGCAGTAAGGAGTTTTCAAGTTTTAATCAGAATTTTAAAAGTTTTAAGGATTGTCTCCAAAATTATTGTACCTAGCATTGAACTGTAGGTCCAAGTCCAATACCACATAGGTCAAACAGGTTCATCAATGGTTCAGTCACCAATGAGTGAGAGTCATAAAAACGTTTAAAACAACCACCCATCCTTTAATCTTGCCAAATCATCACTACCAATGAGATGTCACAAGACCACTTCAAAGCCACCCTGGTAGCAATGGCTCTCAAAAAAATTCTACAAAAAGTTGCGAAAAAAATTGTAAAAAACATGAAAATTTCAAGAGTTCGTAAGTATTAAGTGAAAAAACTTCTAAAGTACTCGTTTCAGGAAACCCTTTTGGGGAATTTTTTTAAATAAATAATAGTGTTACCTAGGTATTTTATTTAAAAGAAAACGTAAAATTTACGTAAAACTCAACAAACTATATCCTCTTTTTTATGGGCTGAAACTTTTCCTTTTATTCTTTTCTGTTCACTTTTTTTTCCTCGTCTTTGCCTGCAGGAAGTACCAAAAAAAAAATTCGTAAATTTTACTTAGAACTTACGTATAAAATTCACTTAAAAGTTTTCCTCATTTTCATGTAAAAGAGGCCCAAAAAGGGTTTCCTGATACGAATATTCCAAGAGTTTTTTTACGTAATTTTCAAGTGGTTTTGAAGTTAATTTTAAGCTCTCTTAAAATTTACGAGTTTTTACAACTTTTCCCTACAGCCACTGCTACTAGGGATTTTTGATTGAATTATATCGTGTCAAATTCTCCCAATAAAATTTCTGGATTCCCGAATCATTGATTTACTCAATAAGTCTAGGAAGTCTAAATCATGGGTTTTCTTTCTTCGTTCCTCCTTGGATCGCTTCTTGAATTTCAAACGAATTTTTTTGCCGCGCTGTCTTTCTTTATGTTTTTTCCCCTTAATCTGTGCCGTTGATCGAAGATCCGTCTCGAAAGGATCCCAGCTGTAGGAATTCAGAGGGTCCAAATCCTGGGTCACCACGTCCGACAGAATAGAGTGCGGTTCTTTCGTCCTCTTCACACCCGATCTCTCCTTCTGATGGACACTTCGTAAAAAGTTAATGGTGTCCGGATGTTTTTGCTGATGACTTGAAAAAAAATCAAGCTCAGGGAAAATTACGGTTCGATTATCGCCGTGGGAGTTAGCTCTTTGAATGTGTGATAAAGTTTTTATCAAGTTCCCCGTTGATTCTAGATTGTCAAGATGATGCGAAGGATTCTTATCCTGAACTTGCTCCAAGAGTCTCGAGTAAAGACCCAAAGTTTCCGCAGGCAAAGGAAATTTTTTCTCTGGGATTTCGTGTGAGAGCTCAGCAAGCTCTCTCAATACACTGTCGTGACTTTTAACATCGTGTGATCTGATTCGGGAAGCCCTGTCCAAAAATTCTTTTTTATGATTTCTAAATGGGATGCCTAAGTCAGACTCGGAGGCAGGGAACGAAATATTCATCCCTAATTCATCCGACAGACTAGGGGTGTGTTTGTTGAAGGTTTTTATCAGTGGAATATCATCCAGAATTTCAGCAGCTTTACCAGCTGAGGGACCCTGAGGGTACCTTTTCCCTGATTTCTGCTCCGTTGTAATATCACTATGGGGGAAATCAGAGGGGTGGAAATGATGGTATAGCAGAGGGGTTTTGTACTGCTGTGCGTCGGAAAACTTTGATCGTGCCATGTTGAGCGGTAATTTATTGGTAGGCCTCAGAGTCAATGGGTTTTCCAAGTCGGAAGTTTCTTGGAAGTTGGATCCAGCAATGGTCTCAGGGCCTGTGACATTGGGTTTGTACATGGACAGGAGTTTAAAAATGATGCAGAGAAGTTGGTCACTGGACAAACTTTGGTCGAGAGTGTCCGAGGAGCTTTTTGCGGCATCAAGGGCGGTTTCATCCCTGTAGAGGGCAGCTAAAGTGGGTCTCATCTCGTTCCTTTTCAGCTGACCTAGGTCTCCTGATTTTGCCTCAGTCGGTGAATTCTTTGATGGTGTCTGAATACAAAGTCAAACAGAAATGGATTACACTTCGCAATAAGGAATCACTATCTTTGGCTCCTCCATAAAAGCGCGTATCTGCATAGGGTGACCAATGGCATAAATGTTGTTTTTAAAAATTGCCAGAAATAGTGGTTCCTTATTGCTAAATGTAATCCAAATAATCATACTCTCCAAGATAAAATCATAAAAGTAACACGTAGCGCATAATGCCTGAGGATCGGATCGCTTCGGGGGTTTGAACCGCAAAGCGGTCAGAGGGCGTATCCCCCTACTTCACGCAAATTTTTATCGCTTCATTTGAAAGTGCCTTAAGAACTGATTTTGCGGAATTTTCATCTTTTTTCCGGCCATGGGAAATAGTATAAAAATAGATTTAAACGTGAGGAAATGCACCGCTTAGTGACGTCATCTGGCGGCATTTCCCATTTATACGCATGTATTTTAGCAGATTAGATAATTTTGTCATATCTCCTCCAATAATATTGTTCAATTTATGAACCAAGGGTATCCTCGTGTTCAGCTCACTTTGTGTAGCGTCCATTCAAACACGGAATTCATCAAATTTCAGACACCTGCAAATTCTCCATTGCGCATAGTAAATTGCGATTGCATGATTTGCTATAGCATCAGTGTTGCGTGTCTGCCCATACATTAATTGAAGGGGCTCTCGTATTGAAATGAAATTTTATTGTATTGCTATTTTGCAATACTATCATCAAAAAAGGTTCACTGAAAAAAAAGTTTCGGGCTACCTACATAAAATAGACATTGCGTCGTTCCAGGCTCTGTGGCCGTAAGTTCTGGGTGCTGGAATCGTAGGTCCAACTGGATTGCATTTTGCAATTTGGAACTATAAATTCTGGCACATCTGAAAAAACACTTATGTGCGTAGAGAAACTAGTGGCACATACGTTGTTTTTTAACTGGGCCAGAATTGATAGTTCCAAATTGCAAAATGCAGTCCAACTGTTCCGGATGGTACACCCGGAACCAGGGTCGGACTGGTCAAAAGGCCATTCTGCCATTGGCCGATACGCCTCCTTAGCGCGCCGAAAACGCGCCCCTCTGGCAGATAGCAGAAATAGAAGAGAAAAAAAATTACGGTCGAAAAAATATGCGGAAAATGTATTCAATGAACGGGGAGAAGAGAGGGTAAGGAGTAAAGAAAGGTGCTCGCACGCATTATAGTGGCGAACGGAGGTCCAGGAACTACTTTCTGAGGTGGAAACACTTTTCTGTAAAATTTTCACGTCACTGGAAAAAAAAAAAACACATTGGATCTAGAGCCCGGACTCTTGAAAAATTGACAAGAAAAAATACTCTTGATTCAATCAGATTTAAGCTTAAATCAAAAGGAAATCCACTCAGATTAAGAGGCTTGGTTCTTGATTTAAGCTTAAATCTGATTGAATCAAGAGTATTTTTTCTTGTCGATGTTTATAAGAGTCTGGACTATAGATCCAATGTGTTTTTTTTTTTTTTCCAGTGCGTGGTACAACTATTCGCGCAAGATAGATGTCTACATAGCATATGAAAAATTCAAGACGCGATGGCGTGGGCCGAGAGGCGTGAACTCGCTATGCCGTGCTCTACGCTGCTAGTGAGATTCGGGAGAAAAGTTAAAAATCGAGCCCGAATACGTCTCTCCTATCTTCAGATGTGTTTCTCACGCTCCCCTCAAAGAATCACTACAAATTAAATAAACGGAGCCAACACAATACAGAAATAGAGCAAGGAAAAGGACGCGCATTGCTGACGGCGCGGAGATACAACTATTCGTACTTGATGAATGTCCATGTTGCGTCTGCAAAATTGAAGGCGCGCTAGCGCGAGGCGAGAACTCTCAATGCATCGCTATGCTGTCAGCCCGAGTACTTCTCTCCTATCTTCAACTGAATCAGTGAGTTCGAAACACACCAACTCGGAAAAAAAAATTGTTCAGGGAACACCTAAAACTGCGCAGCGGGCGAAGAAGTTAGTTTAAGAAAAATCTTTTTGGTGCCAAAGGACAAGTACTTAGAGACTTTGTAAAGCACCAAGTTGAAAGCGATACACCATGTTTGATGACAGAGAATTAAGCGTTTAAAAATTTCCGAGTTGGTGTGTTTTCGTTCTGATTGACGCTCAGATACTGATTTTTCATAGTCTGCCCTGAAAAATGTACATTTTTCGACCTGGATAACGCTTGAATATTTATGTAACTTGTTGGTGCAAGGTATACTGAACCGAAAAAAGAAAACATTCAAATCGGATGGTCACCCGTTTCCCTTGAGATGGCCAAAAATTGCCATTTCCAGTGAAATACTTCGATTTTTCCCTTTTCCCGTCGCTGTTTCGAGCATTTCCGATTGCAATTTCGAAATTTCCTTTTGCGTGCAGATGCTTCTATCCATGAGTGTTACTAAAACGTAAAAAAGTGAAAATCGAAAGAAAAACCCGAGTTGGTGTGTTTTCGAACTCACTGATTCAACTGTGTTGATACTCGATCCTTTTTTTTCAGGTTCATATCTGATTCCTTTTTAGGATGGATTTGCAGACCCACAACTAGAGCTCTCTTGGACCGCAGCTCTTGCTCAGTTCCGTTGAAAATAATGGTGCTTGGATGCGTCGAGTAGCTTTAATTTTTTTTTTTTTTTTTTTTTTAACTTCAAAAGTCTATTTATTACTTCGATACGTTCAAGTTGGCAAATTTTCCTACGTACGATTAACCAACTTTAAACCTGAAAATAGCGTCAACTCGTGTTGCTTTGCCAACATTTTCTGAGCCCTCCCCCCCCCACGTAGGGGGTGCCCTCCAGGGTAATATCAACTTACGCCCCTTTAACCAGCCAAGGGTCTATACCCTCAGATGAGAGCCAGTCCGGCCCTGCCCGGAACTTTCCGCCTCTGAGCCCGGGACGCGGACGATATGTCTATCTAGGCCCTGTACGGCTCTCATGGCCGGAGTTTTTTTTTTTCAGTGTTTGTTTTTTTTCATTGCGAAATGCTCATCTTTGGCCAAAGTTGGCGACCACGTATCTTCATCGCAATGTTTCAAAAAATTTGCGCCCCTACTTTATTTTTTCGAAAGGAAGCTATCCGACTATGTAGCTTGAAATTCATGCAGAATATGCTGATAACATGGAGGAAAAATCAAGAAAGTTCTCAAGAAATTACGTTCCCCCTCCCGCCCCCCCCCAAAAAAATGAGTCTTCGCCAACGGAGATACGTCGTTTCGTACTTTGTCCATCGTCATTTTTCAACTGTAAGGAATTCATTTCACAGATCGTGTAAAATTGGCTTTCATAGACCACATTAATAGGACTGCATTTTGCAATTAGGAATTATAAATTCTGGCTCTTCTGGAAAAACACTTATGTACTGTACATAGGGAAACTAATGGCCAATACGTCGTTTTTAAACCGGGCTAGAATCTATAGTTCCTAATTGCAAAATGTAGTCCAATAACCAAAGTGCGAAACCGCGTATCTCCGTTTGCGACGTTGCAGACTTCCTATCATATTTTTTTTTTTCGGAAAACTAGTCAACGCTATTTCGTGAAAACTAGTCAACGCTATTTCGTGAAAACTTCCTCGAGTTTTCGTCTTCGTTTGCCAAATATTATTGATTGATTTCAAGTCATAGAGTTGCCTTGTTTCTCTTCGAAAAAAATGAAGTAAGAGCCAAAATGTTGAAATATCCCAATGGAGAAACGCGTTTTCGCATTCAGGTCATCGATTTGATGTGTAAATATTGCAATTTCATCGTAAAAAATTGAATTGTGACTCTATTTAAATACAAATTCTTTTGAATTTTTTTTGTTGCAATATGCCTATCGGGTCGCTTTAAAAGGGCAAGGAAGGCTAGTGTTGGAGACTGTTTTTAAATGGACCGGGTTAAACGGAAAAGAACCGAGTCACATCAGCGATTACCAAATTTAATTGGGCAATTCAATTTTTCACTTGTAAATGGTTGTGCGAATTTTTGTGCAAAGTTCAGTGAATTTCCTGCATAATAGGTACGAAGCAAATTCCTCAACATTTTCAAAGGAATCCGTACAACCGTTCTCTTGTAAATAATTAAAATGCCCGGTTAAATTTGGCAATAGCGGATGTGGCTTAATTCCTTTCTGCTAAACGCAGTACAGTTAATGTTGGGAACTGTGTAAAAATATGATAAGCTAACATGAAAACTTACTGTTGCGTTGGTTGTTCTGAAATCAGGTCTCGTTCCAGAGTGTTTCCCTAGAGAGGAATTGCCGAACAAGGTTTGGCGCAAAAAGTCTAAATCAACTACGCTGCCTCCGTTGACCAAAATTGGATTGGGTAGTATCCGATTTTCTTCGGATAAAACCTGTTTATCGTTGCTTACGGATATAACGATTGGTTTCTCGCCTGCTTTGGTCTGGTATACCTCATCAGGTGCCATCGCGACATTAAGGGGCTCCAGGTTAAGGTCATTTTTCTGGGCACCTGAAATCAGCACCATTTCAGGATTCCCTAGCTCTTTCGAGCACAGCTGTTTTAAGTCTGTAAGAGAAACAACATCAAAACTCACCGTAGCTGTTCCCAAATCTCCAGTTTCGTGGTAAAATTTCAAATCTGACGAATATTAGGACTGCATTTTGCAATTTGGAACTATAAATTCCGTCCCGGTTTAAAAACAACGTATGTGCCATTCGTTTCCCTATACACATACGTGTTTTTTCAGATGAGCCAGAATTTATAGCTCCAAATTGCAAAATGCAGTCCATTAGTGGGACCGCGCTTAGCAGAAAGGAGCCAAGTTACATCAGTTATATCCAAATTTAATTTGGCAGTTCATTTTTTGACATGGGAACAGTTGTGCGGATTTTTGGGCAAACTCCAGTGAATTTTCTGCGTAGTACGAAGCAAATTCCCGAAACTTTTCAAAGGAATCTGTTGAAGCGTTCTCTTGTAAAAAAAACAAATTGCCCGATTAAATTTGGCAATAGCTGATGTGGCTTGGTTCCCATCTGCCAATGCGGTTCAATTAGACTTCATTTCGCAACGAGGCACTAGGTATTATCTCAAACTCATCCATAAAAGTACTTATTTGCATACGGAAGGTATTACTGAGCAAAAATCTAAATTTTAAAGAGCTATCGTTAACTTTTAGAACTTGAGAAAATTGATAAACTAGTTTGATCTGGTCAATCTGTCTACATGAAAGTGGAGCATGTGCCCCTCCCCCCCCCCTCAACACTGCTCAGCAAAAAAAAGACACGAAAAATATAGCAGGATAAGTACAATAATTATGTTAAATTTAATAATAGTCTCATCGATAGGGTTTCCTCTAGTCCTTTGCTGTTTTAAAGAAAACTAAAACGGGATACAATTTTTACGTTAAATTTAAAAATATTCTCATCGGGTTTCCCTTTTTTCCTTTCTACTGTTTTAAAGGACGCCCCTCAAGCCCATATTAATATGCCTCGGGGTCCTGAGATCAAACGAGCGAAAATCAATGCGCGGAACTCAGTCCGCCTTCAATCCAGAGGTTATGCAATTCCATCTACTCGGGAGTTATAATAATTGTATTACACATTCCAATCTGTCTGTGCAGAGAGTTGCGCTTAATCGTGGCACTATCATGATCATGTAACTGAGAAAATTAGCTTCTCCAAAGACTCCGTCTTTTTCCGAAATTTTCCCTCGAACTCGGATTTCTCCTTGAAGATTTCCCTCCAGTTTCCACATAATTGTCGATAATCATTGATCAGACTCAGAAATTTTTAAGACGAGGATACTATCGGACGGAGGAACTTGACTCCATTCCAAGGTTGCAAAACTGACTTTAACAGTTTAATTTTCCTTTTTTTTACATAAATATGCTTGTGCAATGGAGATGTTGCATGTGTGAGGAATTTGCGATTTGACTGTTGATTCTTTTGTAAAAGTTCGCGAGAAACACGATGTGGCCACTGGATTTCTCTAAAATCAACTCCAAACTCAAAAAAAGCTCTCAAGTCGAGGTCAAAATGGAGGGGATATCCCATCCTACCCTGAGAGTCCACCTCTACATCAAGACAAACTCTCCATGCTAAGATAGGGACCAAATACATTAGCAGGGTTGCCGGGTTTTCAGTTTTGGAGTCCCCAAATAAAGTGGCAGCCCTGTAAATGTATTTGCTCCCTATCTTAGCATGGAGAGTTTGTCTTGATATAGAGGTGGACTCTCAGGATAGCGAGGGATATCCCCTCCATTTTGGCCTTAACTTGAGAGCTTTTTTTGAGTTTGGGAGTTGATTTCAGAGAGAACCATCGTGTTTCTCGCGAACTTTTACATAAGAATCAACAGTCAAATCGCAATTTCCTCACACATGCAACATCTCCATTTTTGTTCAAAATCTTTCTGATTTTTGTATGAGATCTGAAGAAAATCAGTGACATTTTCAGTTAGGAATCCCTGAGATTCTCCCGGTAAAGGTGCAATTTGCGAGAGGAGATTTCGCAACATTGTAATGTTGTTGCGTTTTTTCGCGAGGGGAACGACGAATTCGTCGCTCCTCTGAAGTAAAGGCGTATCTCTGTTTCTACATGAGCCCTGGGAAGCATAGCCAAAAGCGGATCCAGCAATTTGGCAACACCGGGGTTCCTCCATTTAAACCTATGTTAAATAATCGATTCTTGTCAGAGCATCTGGCCGTTCTAAGAATCGATACATTTCCATAGGTTTAAATGGGGAGAAAACAATGTTGCCAATTTGCTGGATCCGCCAATGAGCATAGCGTTATATGGAAAACAGGGCACATGTGGAAATCGAGATACCGACGGTGAAACTACCAAACCACGTATCTCGGTTTGCGACGTCGCAGACTTCCTGTCATACTTTATTTTTTAAATGAAAAACTACTCAACGTCCAGTCTTGAAAATTTCTGTGATTTTTCCTCTTTGTGCGGAGAAAATTCTGTGAAAATTTCAAGGAATGATATTGATTTGGTCTACTTCAAAAAAATAAAATGCGAGCGTAGATTTTTAAACACCGCAAACGAGATACGTGGTTTGGTAGTTTCACCGTCGATACGCTCTTACGTCGCACGGTGGATCGAGTCAATAGGAGAGGTTGGACAAAATTTGGAAACTTTAAAAGCTTACAATCCCAGTTTTACAGAACTTTTAGATTTTGAAAGTGGTTCCATTGATTTCCTCGTGAAATTTCCTTCTGAAAACACCCCATACAGTTTAAAATGTGACGAAATAAACATCAAAATTTGCAGTTTTAGAAAAAAATTTCATGTCCGACCTCTCTGATCGACTCGATCCATTGTGCGTCGGAGGAGCGACGAATTGGACTGCATTTTGCAATTTGGAACTATAAAATCTGGCCTGGTTTAAAAACAACGTATGTGCCATTAGTTTCCCTGTGAACATAAGTGTTTTTTCAAACGAGCCGGAATTTATAGGTCCAAATTGCAAAATGTAGTCCAATTGTTCCATGTTAAAATAAGCAACATGTGATATCCCATACACAATGCAGTATCTTTGATTCGTGAAAACTTGTGCGAATTCAACCCGAGTAGGTACTTACAAGATGAATTTTTCATAAAAATTATCACAGTTTTCCCCGAAGAATGTTAGGCACTTCTCATAAAAATCAGGATATTAAAAAATGAATTTTTTCAGACTTTACAGGAATTTTTTTTTTTTTTTTTTTTTTTTTTTTTTTTTTTTTTTTACTACTTCAAATAGCCCACAAGGGCTAATCCCACGCTTTAAGTCCCATCCCCCCTCCGTCCCTACTGAACCAGTCCCAGGCAACCATTGTTTGAGACCATCAAACTCGGGTCGCCTGGCCGGGAATCGAACCCGGGACCTCTCGATCATATAGAGAATCATAATAGAATTCCCAGGGAATATTCCGTTTAAAACTTATTCTAAAAGCTTGGGACCCCCCTCGCATGTTTAATTCACTTAAATGGAACATGGAGATTAAACAGGCGAGAAAAAGATCCACGTTTTTAAAGTAAGTTTTTAACGTAATATCATGAATTTCTCTTGTTATTGACAGTTTAGCTTTCTCTCTTCGGTATCATCAACTGGATAGCATTTAGCAAAAAGGAACCAGCGCGGTTACAATGTTGTAAAAATGTTGCTTCTTCATAATTATCTATAAAAATCTCTCAGAATAGAAAATAGTTTTTGCTTCCCATCGAAAAATTGTTCATTTTAAAGGAAAATTACTGTGTAAATTTCAGTATCAGTACTGTACATTATATTGAGCGATTTTAAAATAAAAAGAAGAATTGCTCGATTATGAAATTACTGTAATCGCACTGGTTCCTTTTTGTTGAATGCAATCCAACTTTACGAATACTCAGAAACTTTTCCTGTTTTTAAAAATTTAGCATTTTCTCTCAGTTATCACTAACTTCAGGAATACATACATGTGCGCACCTTCTAGAGTTTTAGGCTAATAATGTAGGTTATAGCTCGGAACTTACCGTTTTGAGACTCTTTTTTTCTGCGATCGCCTTGATTCTGTTTCCCGTGTCCAGTGGAAAGTGTCGAACATGAAAACAGACATATTGTCAAAAACGCCCAAGTGAATCCCTTTTTAATTAACATTTAACCTCTCCTTGTCGGCCATGAAAAAACGGTTCCGATACAGAAAAGTAAAGAAGGATACACCGGCGTGCTAAGGAAAAACGCAGTATAAACATTTGAATGTTGCCAAATTTTGTCTGATAAAACATTTATTGTGCAGAGAGGTTATGCATACTTTCACTTGAAATTTTCAGATATTTACGATTGAATTGCGATCAACATTTTCTGAGGAATCGGAGGAAAACTACTTAAAACCTTCCTGCTGAATTTTTATTTTATAACAGGAAATCTGGCAACGCCTGAAGGTCCATTCGGCGTTGCTCCTTAAAACTTTTTGGAGTGGAAGTGAGAGAAACCACAAGCCTCCAACGGCTCTCAATTATTCTTCTTACTCAAGATATTTGAACAGAGTTGTGCGATTGTTTAATAATCAAAAATTTTGGCTCGCATTAATGAACTCTTATTTCATTCTGCTCTTCTTTAAATACTCCTCAATTTGGTTTCTTCCTTTCGGTGATGTACTAATATCCCCTAAAGTTATATCTACATAAAATGGCAGCTTGTTTCTAAATCCACTCGGAAGGCTGTCTTTTATACAGTTTCGCTCATGTTTAAAAAGTCAGCTGTTCAACAAAGTAACGCCATAGACGGCTATGTATTCTCATTGAGTTTATATTAGGATTGCATTTTGCAAAAAGGAAGCAAGAGCATTCCAATGTCACTAAGGTTGTGAAACTTTTTTTACCTTGCAAATATAAACTGATCACATAAAAAAGTTGTATCTTTACTCCCAATAAACTATGAATTCAAGACGAGAATTACTTTTGTACATTTAAATTATTGCATGATTCTAGAATTTTTTTTCAACAAATGTAAGTTAGCACAATCCTAGCAACATTAGAATGCTCATGGTTCCTTCCTGGAAAATGCAATCCAATTGTGAGGTGTCCTTTTCAATGTCAAACAAGTACATAGCTCTGTATATTGATGTTAATTGTTAACTCTCAAAAAAGAAAGAAAAAAAAATGAAATTGATGGCTTGGGCGGGGGACGGTTGCTCCATGCGGGGCGCGAAAAATCACTTGCTCTTTTGAAAAACAGCGGATGTGGTCTTTTATAAAATCACTGTTTATCGTTGACCATTGCCTTCAAATTTAAAATTCTAAAGTTAATTTTTTAGAGGAGAATTTGCTCTAAATGTTATACTTCCATCCAACCCCATTTGCTGTACTAACATAAAAATACAAAGTTTAAAAAACTTGGAATGAGATTATCTCAAAGCTTCAAAATCCGACATTCGCGGCTTGAACATAGCATATAGTTTCATATATCGACGGTGAAACTACCAAACCGCGTATCTCGGTTTGCGACGTCGCAGACTTTCTGTCATACTTTATTTTTTAAATGAAAAACTACTTAACGTCTAGTCTTGAAAATTTCTGTGATTTTTCTTTTTTGTGCGGAGAAAATTCCGTGAAAATTTCAAGGAATGATATTGATTTGGTCGACTTCAAAAAAATAAAATGCGAGCGTAGATTTTTAAACACCGCAAACGAGATACGTGGTTTGGTAGTTTCCCCGTCGATATGTATTCCTCAGATAAATAATATTTGGGAAATACTATTTCCTTGGATGTTTAAATAATATGTAAGGGGAGAGACCATTGAAATGTATCTCGACAAACGGATTTATACAGGACACTGTAATAAACTGCAAATCTAATAAAATAAGTAAAAATTGTAAATTCGAATTTCTTTTATTTCATTGGATCGTTTTCATTTTCCATTCATTTTAAATTTCTGTTTTCACAATTCTATACATCACCAACAAACACTTTTGCATACAATTTTAATCTTCTTTTCCTTTTTTCATTTGGAAAAAAATACAATTTTATTCAAATAAAAAGCAATACAGCAGTAGCTAACAGTGTTTCTACATGCAATAAAAGGTTATAAACTAACAGTCAATGTCTTCAAATTAAACATCCTAAAGTTACATAACGACGGTGAAAGTCGGCAATCACACAACTCGATTTGCGACGTCGCAGACTTCGTGTCATACTTTATTCTTTAAACGGAAAACTACTCAACGGTAATTCCTTAAAACTGCCGTGATTTTTCTTCTATGTGCGAGGAAAATTCTGCAAAAACTGCAAGGAATCATGTCCATTTGTTCTCCTTTAAAAAAATAACATAGTTGCGGAGATTTTCAGACACCGCAAACGAGTTATCGACGGTGAAACTACCAAACCACGTATCTCGTTTGCGGTGTTTAAAAATCTACGCTCGCATTTTATTTTTTTGAGGTAGACCAAATCAATATCATTCCTTGAAATTTTCACAGAATTTTCTCCGCACGAAGAGGAAAAATCACAGAAATTTTCAAGACTGGACGTTAAGTAGTTTTTCATTTAAAAAATAAAGTATGACAGGAAGTCTGCGACGTCGCAAACCGAGATACGTGGTTTGGTAGAACAGACGCGACGTCCTGTTGGCATAAATCAAATTTGGAAGGAGCTTCGCTTTTATTCTCTTTAAACAAATTTCAAATATTTGAGTACTTGAAAATTCCGCTATACGGGTGTATCTTCCGATAAATTCGAAGATGAGATACTTGAGGCGTAACCGCGAAAGTTATCGATCTAAGTTGGCTTAACGATTTGCCGAAAGAAATTATTAGGTACGATTTTTTTAAATGAATAATTACTCATAACAGTTGTAGGTGGTCTCCAATATGCATCGCGAACTTGCGCCCCTTAAATGAGGAGCTTGAAGGACAAGGCGCAAAAGTGCAGTTTTTGGCCAAATTGAGATATTCATAAACTCAACTAACTTTCGTTGCGCCGTATATTCTGTGAAAAATTCACAGCTAAAATCCAACTTCAAACCACCAAAAAGTGAGTTTAAAATTCCTTCCCATCATAAGGCTCCATGTAACTTTGAAACTTTAAATACGTATTTCTTGAAATAGCAAAAACTGCACTTATGCGCCTTGTTCTCCAAGCTCCTCAAATGTACTACTAATTTTTTTGGTGCGGAGCGAAAACTTTTTGTTATTCAGAAAGGTTTTTACACTATCAGTTAAAGTTTGATTTATGCATGAAAGATGCTAGGGAGACATTATCAGTTAAAGAGTTATTCATATCTAAAAGGTGCTGGGATAAAGGGGCATGAGACAATGAGACATTATAATTTGACTAAATTATCGACCCCTGTGTATTACTAACAAACCAGCACATATTTTGTCGGCGTTTAGCCGAGGGTAAAACCCTCGTTTCCACCGTCCACCACGAGGAGGAACCGACATCAGACGGCACGCTTGCACCGTCCAACTTACAACTCCCATGGCATTACGTTAATTTGAAATTCAAAATTTTGAAGAAATTTTGAAGAAATTGAGAAGAAATTTTAAAAGACAAAGGCATGGGGCTCATGCCTTTGTTTCACTCGAGATCGGATGCCCTATAGCCGGTCCGGACCGACCAGTTTCCTCCTTAAGATCTCTTCTCCGTTCTGCTTTTTTCACACGGACTCCCGCGCGAACGAAGCACAACGGATCTACTCAGTTCCTACGAGATCAGAGGTTTAGTC